GTCTTTATATGCTCAGACTGGCTTCTTCTACTGATGTAATAAGCTTAATACTGACTAATAAAATATTTCAGAGGCGCTTTGCCTCTCCTTGTAAAGATTTCCAAGCTGGGTAGAATTAAATGTAAAACTATAGCATTAAGAGAACTTAACCAAGCATTTGAAAGTTGGTGTCTTCCCAAAGTTAAGGGTATGGCCACAGTGGTTAACTCTGCTACGTGCTACTCTCCATTTTTATGATACCATCAGTATCACAAATGATCGTCTGTTCTGCTGTTGAACCTTGTGGTTTTCACCAGCAGACTCGCAGCTCACTTGCTTCCAAGGGCAGGGCATTTACCCACATCCTTCTCAGGTTAAATTACAGCAAATGAGATTTGAGATTGCCTATTACAAAAGCCTTGGAATAGCTTGTCCCAGGGACTGCCTACTCTTCTTGTTCAGGGCAATTGTAGAATTGGTGTCTGTTGAGTTTTCTGCGAACAGACTGGACAAACCTTTGTCAGGATTGACGTAGGTAGGGGTGATCCTTCCTTGGAGACCAGTATGAAGAGTCTAAGCGAGGCTTGGATTTAATGCCTTGTTTTCAAATCCTAATGCTAATTCTATCCCAAATGGAAGAGCTCCTGTGTCTGCACCTCTATGCAGGAATGGGATCCAGGTGCCCCAAGTGCAAGTCTGGATGCCTAAGGGTGGCCAAAAGTACCTGCGTGGGGCTGGAAGGTTATGGAGGACATGTGTGCTGCATAATTGCTGCCCTAGGGTTTCTGAAATGGCACATGATCTCACCCAGAGTGTGCATATGAATGCCTAAACCTTCCTAGCATTGCTTCGGGGCCGTCTCATGGCATGAGTCCCACGGGCTAGTTACGTTAAAACTGCGAAGCTGTGGAAAAGATCTACTGGACCAAATCAGAAAAGCAATTCAAACAGCTTCCTCCTATCATAGAAGTATTTCAGTGTCAAAGTCAGAAAATGAGTTGTTCTTGGGAAGTACAGCGGATAATTATTTTTTTTTAAATTTTGTTTGTGAGTTTGTCTGGGAGAGTGCGTGGAGAACGTTACCAATCTGTATATCTCAGAGTTGTAGCCCCTTCACAAACCAGTCTGTCTGGACTGGGCTAAATTACTTATGACGGGTGCCTGCTTCATAGGAGGCTTCCATTTGTCCACAGTGGGAGTTGGAGGATTTTGCCTAAGCGTCCGAATGTTTTGGCTTAACAGCCTGTCCAGAAGATGTGAGCAGGTCGGGGTAGGATGAGGATACCAGTACACGTTCTCCACTGAAACTGAACTTTTTTACAGGATGCCTCAGCAATTAGTAGAAGAAGTGATGTAGCTGTTGTGGTCTGACAATGAGAGAGAGACAGTTTATAGGGAGTGATAACACTTTTTATTAGCTGCTGTACCTCCAGAAAGCAAGGCTTTCAGGCATGCAAGTCCATCTTCAAGCCAAGCAGGGTCTGAGCTCAGCAGCCCAGCCTTCGGACGCGTCCTCCAGCAGCTCGCTCAGGGCTCCACGTCACCCCAGAGCCTCTGACACTTGCCAAGAGACTTTCTGAACAATTTTAAGACCATAGAACCGTAGACCATAGAACCATTTTAAGACCATAGTCAGCAAGAGACTTTGCTTCCAGTGAAGGTCTTTTTATTTCACAAAGTGTCCTCAGCCTTGGGGAAATGCTGGGTTTGAGCTCAGCTTGATATTTACCTTTGTTGTCTCATTATCAAAGCAGAGGTTGAAGTCTGACACTGTACTTTTCACAGCAAAGCGGTGCATCATCTGATAATGCCTGTGGCTTTTGAGATTAAAGGTGGGAGGTTGCCCTTTGAAACCAGGGAGCAAAAACTTGGGAAATTAATGGCTGTTCAGGATATAACTTTTTGATGTTGAAGGTTTAGATAGGACGTCTGCTAATGAAGTTCAGCTGAAAGTACTGTCTCCTCTGGAGTACAGCACCCTTTGTTTCCTACATCCATCACTTCTGTGTTGAGTTCATCAACACAGTGTCTAAATTTATTTTTTTAAAAAATGCTGCAAAGCAGTGGTTTCATGAAGGGACAGGAACTGTTTCACTAGAGATGGAGCAGACCTGTCCTTTGCTTGTAGGCCCTGAAGCAAGACTGATTTTTCTTCCCAAGATGTATTCCTCTAGGTCCTCCATGAAATGTTGACCTGATTTGGGAATTACTTGTGAAACACGTGGCCTAGATCTCCTAAGGACCAAGAGAGGATCAGGGGGGGTCGTGCAACCCACCACTTTACTGCTGAACAGGGATGATGTAAAGGTGGTGTCCCGCAGATGAGGGAGCGGGAATATCTGGGATCAAACTTGCAAGCAGGGAACCAGCAAGTGCAGATTTTAGAGAACTGCTTTATTTTTTCCTGGAAAGACAAGAAAAGGAGAGAAATGAAGGGTGTGTTTTTATGGAGTGGCTGCGAGCAGGGAGCGTGTGACAAAAAGCCAGACAACGACACGGGATGGAAAATGCCGGCGAGTTAGTCCTGAGATGAGGCTGTTTCTGCCGGGGAGATGATTTGGGGTAGTAACCCCACACTCGCCCCTGCTTTTCCTCCATGCTTGAAACCCATGTGACCACCCTGGGCTGGCTGCAAGCTGGGGGGGCTCTCGATGAGGCTGATCAGCAATTTCGTGCAAAATGCATGTTCCTCCAGTCATTAAAAAAAAAAACGATGAAAACTTTACTTTCTCCCCAAATCCCACCTGATTTTGAATCCCAGAGAGCAGTTTCTTTCCGGTGACTTTTCCACTTCAGAATTTCTTTTTATTTGCTCTTTTAGGATCTTGGGGATAGTTTTTTACATTCCTTTTTTTCCAATCCTAAGGGCACCACCGACCAAAAAGGGCGGGAGCCATAAAAGCCTCGTAGCAGAGACGCAGGACCCAAATACTGGCAGAAAGCCCCCTCCTCTAGCACAGGGGCCTCGGCGATCGAGGGGCACTGGCCAGACAAACAGCATTGGGAGGGGATTAAAAAATAAAGGCTGGAGGTGGCATAGGCAGCTCCAGGACCAGCCGGGACCGCTTGCGCACCGAATGTGACGCTAACTAGCTGCAGACAGGCCTGGAGCGCTTCTGCACAGGACTCCGACGGGTTGAGTTATTTTTACTTTTGGTCCAGTCCCGCAGCCACGTTGGCAGATGCGCTCCCAGCTGCAGATTGCTTCCATGTGTAACCCCGAGCGCGGCCGCTGAACGGGGGCCAGGGGCGTAACGTGCTTCCTTAAAAGGCTTGGGAGAGGCGAGCTGCAGTGCCCCTGGCCTCAGGACTGGAAGCGGAGGAGAGGGCCCCCCCTTCCCAGCCAAAGCCCCGGCAGCGCTTTCGCATCCCCAAGTCCTGTGCGGTCCCTTTGCAAGCATCTTTCCCAGGCCGTTGCTGCTGCCCGGGGCGCAGGCGTTTGGAAACTACCCCCCACCCCGGGCCTCGGAGCAGCGGGATGTCAGCGGGAGTGATGATTCATGGGGTCGTTTTAAGCTAGTTGCTCCCTCTTAAAAGCAGAGTCTGTGGAGGAGGCAGCTCACGGCGGGTGGGACGCGTCTGGTTTGTGCAGCAGTGGCTTTTATACCCAGCGAGAGGGAAAAAGCAGACGGGGTGGGGGGGGTCCCTGCGGCATGCCCCTGCACACCGTGAAATGCAGAGCGGGCTGCTCTTCTCTGCTCTCCAAACAGCCAAATGTGGCCGTTGCAAAAAATAATAATAAATCAACTACCCGTTCCCCTCTTTTGCAACAAAATCCTTGCAATGTGCTCAGAGAGGGTGCCAAAGGCACAGCACAGCATCCCAAGCCCCGCTGCCTGGCAGCCCCAGCATTTCCTGCTCATCGGGCTGGCTTGGTACTGACGGGAAATTTCGGGAGCTGGGCTGTGTGCTGAGAACAGCATACAAGCTGGGACACTTGAAAAAGCAAATCGGTGCCGAGAGAAAAAGCCCCGAGCATCCCTGGCCCCGTGGCCGGCGTGGGATGCTGGGCAGCGAAGTGGCAGGAAGGCTGGCCGTGCCACCGCGGGGCTGTGCAGGTTGTGTGACGTGCGCTCCCGCTGCCGTGGTGCATTTGCATCCCCGGGCACCAGAGGATGTAAAATGAGCATCTTGGTCGCCTGTTGAGCACGTGTGACGTTGAACAGGGAACTCGAGGTGTCTTGCCAGCTTTGTGTGGTCTTGTCCATGATATTACGGAAGGCAAACTCTGTTGCTGGGAGGGCTGCGTTCAAAGGTGTTACGAAACTGTGCCTGCCTCATCTCAGCCTCGTCCGTGTGTAGATCTGCCTGGAGTGCTTCGAACTAGCACCCAAAAGTGTGTGGCAGGCGGACACCAAGCAGCCTTCTCCTCATGACAGTCCCACCCTGGCCCTCGGAGGAAGACACAGGAGAAGCCCCAGACTGTACGCTTGGTGTCCTTCCCGAGGCACGTATCAGCTCTAACCAGTGTAACCCTGTTCTCCAGAAATGCCCACCCTACTCGCTTATTTTGACTGAAAGCGCAGAGCAAGCAGCAGCGCATGCTGTGCAGGCTGCCTCCCTCTCTGCCTTGGGGAGAAGCGTGGCCAGGAGAAAACGTGGAGCAGCATGGGGGCTCCTTGAGCTCAGAGGCAGACCACCTTCACCGGTGCTGAGTAAAGCCCTCTAGACCAGGAGCAGCAGGGAGGTGCTTAACGCCGTGGTTGAACCCTGCCTTGCTCCTCTTGCCCCTGTGGAAATGATTGTGCGTGCTGGGATGTTTTCTGGACTCCCCCTGAATGACCTTGCTGGTTTTGGAGAATCCCATTTTCCAAGGCAGTAGGCGCCATTAGTTGCTGATTTGCCTCATCGACATTCCTGGGCTGCTTGTGTTCGTGTGCTCGGTACTTTGGTGGGTTTTTTTTTTTTTTTTGGAGGGGCAAGGCAATGTGCCTGGCAAAGTCCCAGTACATTGTTTCTGTGAGTTTTAGCTCCCCTGGGTGTGCTCACATAAGGACAGGAATACCTGTGTTTTTCTTTGCTTTGTATTTTATAAAACATACAAAATTAGAAAAATGCCAGAGACATTCTACACCACAATTTAAAAATTCTTTAACTGAGGCCTTGGTCCCAGCAGTGCATTTGCATTCAGAAACCTTGCTTCCTTTTCCTTGCTAGTTTGGTTGGCCACATATGGTACAAATGCATACAAGAAATCTAGTTTGAAATCTAATCCAGCAAAAGGAAAAAACAAAAGAATGAAAAATTGAACCGCTTGTTTATCAGAATTAGCTACTCTCTTACACAAAGGCTTTCCATGAAAAGTTATGCTCAGTTATGAAAATGATAAAAGCAAGCATGTAACAGTTGCAGTGAAATTATTATTATGATTTTTTTTTTCTAATTTTTACATCGCCTTAGATAGGCAGACTGCCGGAATCAGAAAGAAAGGGTAATTTAGAGACATGTGGAGACACAATAACAATCTGCAATTAGGTAAATATTTTGTAATGTTGAAGCTATACAATATAACCCGGACACATGTAGCACTCAGTCCACAAACAGTTTAGCACCATATTGATAGGTCATGCAGCAAAACACTTTCTTCAAGGTTTGCTTGGAAGGTAAAAGCATGAAATAGTACAGTGCAAGGTAGTCTATACCCTTAGCTTCTACAGGGGTAAGGTGGCAACGGCCGACGCTCCTGGTTGTCTCCGAGGTATGTGTTGGCAGGTTGCTGCCTCTATGTTCCTATTGTCGTCACAGCGCCAGGGTTAATGGTACCTGCAAAGGTTGGATGGAGAAAGAGAAAACCTGTGAGGTTGTTTTGTGCATGGACGACAGCATGGGATATGAAAGGAGGAGAAAAGTCGTGGTGGGAAGAGGCGGCTCTGCCTGGCGAAGACAGCAAGGAAAACCCATCTGTTACCCCTCGCGGTGGGGAACGAGTCCTTCTTGGAAGGAGAAGAGGCAGTGTAGTGTGCCTGGAGATCAACCTGGCTTTTCAAACAGAGATAACGGGCTTACCTACGGCACACTGATGCCAGTGCGTGGCTCTTGTTGACTACAGCAGCACGCCAGCCAGGCGAGGCTGCAGTGAGGGGTGGGTAAACACGGTCAAGAGTACAATTTTTAACCAAAAGGCTTCGTAATCAATTCCCAGCCTGTCCATGTTATGTTTTTTGACGCTATTACCCAGCTAAACGCCAGGAACTTCTCCTGCAGCCAGTCCAGCCTGCAAAAACCAGCCTGCTCTAGCGACAGCAATGCGCCAGACTTCTGCTGGCATAAATACAGGGGCATCACGGTGCTGCGCCACTTGAGCTAGGAGACGGTGCGTTCCCATGCCAGGGAATTCCCTGGCTTTCCTCTCCAGATGTGCAGCAGCTGGGTGCGCGCTACTTACCAGGAACGCAAACTTTTTCACAGTCTTTCTGCGTGTTAAACCTGTTGTCGTTGCCTCCGCAGCCACCGTACCAGAACCTGGCGCAGCTCTTGGTCTCGGTGTCGTAGTACCATTTGAGCACGAAGTTCCTGCAGGTCCCCTCGTCCTTTTGCAGCCGGCAGATATCTGTGACTGCAAATAAATGCAGGAGCGGGAAGGTTCAGCAACAGATGTGGGGAGTCCTGTGCCTACGCCACGTGCACCCTCTCGGCCCGTGCGTGCTGCCTGACATTGGCACATGTTAGTTGAGCCTGATCTAACGACTAATGATTTTTGCCCCTTGTAGCCAGGGCTCGTGCCTGGTGTAAAGCCCTATAACCTGGGTGCCAAAAATCAAGCTACTTAGAGGACTCGTCTCTCTCTGAAACCATGGTTAACAGTCCCAAGGCCTTCTGAAGTCCCTTTTCTAATCATGCAAGGCTCTGAGAAGTGAAGTAGCCCTTTGCTAACAGAGAAGGTCCCTGAACTAGCTGGGATCCTAGGACTACTCATGGGAATGAAGGATTTGCGAGAACGAGCACTTGATGCCGGCAAAAAGGATTTTATAGTCGCACTGCTGTGATTCTGCCTCCACCTGGCAATAGGAAAAAGCTGTCAGTCGCTGTTTGCAGTGGGCCGATTGATCTTATCAGGCCTCTATCCTACCAGAAACAAGAGTCCCAACATATCAACGAGTTGAATATATGAAAGAAGGGTGAGTGTATAAAAGGTGCATTCGCAAGCCAGTTTCTTCGAGGTTTGATTAAAGAAAAGGCATATTACACCCTCCAAACATTTTCAGGAGAGGAAGGGCACAGAAGTCTATCCCTGAAACCCGGACTAGAAAGTAGGTCTGGCAACGAATCCTAGCAAAGAAAAAAGTTGTGGTGGCAGGTTTACTTTAAAGGAAATTGCGGCTGGTGCTGGCAGCTGCTCGGAGCACAGGAATGCTACAATAAGTCCTCGAAGACGGGCCGGGAGCACGGAGAACCAGGAGTAGGCGTAAATACAGAGACCAGCATCGCAGACCTATGAGACTGCTCTTGCCGAAGCGTCTCTGCGCGTGGGTGTACCTTGACACAGCTATGCTTCTGCACAGAGCCTGCCAAAAAGACATTGTTTCTACCTTGGCATTTTAACTTCTTTTCCCCTCTCTGGCTTGTAGGAGTCGCTCCGTGCTATGAGCAAGTCTGTTGGAAAGGATCTTTGCTAAAAGAAACTCCATCGTGCAACGGGTCAGACTCAAGTTGTCCAAGCGCTGCGCTGCAGCCGTGACGGAGAGTTATCTATTTGTTTTAGCAGTCCATTTGCTGTTTAGATAAGAGGAGCTGCTAAGATCTCCTTTCCGAGAGAAGACATTTTTAAAAGGAATATCCTGGCCTTTGTTGGTTTTCTTTGTTCTGTCATAAACGCAGCTTTTGGAAGTAGGATTTTTTTTTTTTAATCTCTGTTTTCCCTTGGAATTTGAAATCAATATTGACCTTTCAGTTCAGCTTTGCTATTGGACTCCCACAGGCAAAAGCTTTTTCAGGCCTTTGGCAGGCTCTTTTCCTTTTTTTTTCATTATTATTGTTTTTGACTCCATCTCCCTTCTTTTCTGACTTCCAAAATATTGAAAGCCAGCCGATGCAAATACAGGAATGACTTTACTCCACAGCCTGCGCGCCCTTCAGGCAATCCAGCCAGCGAACAAAACATTCAGCTCATGAGAGGTGTAATATCATTTTTCTCCACAGCACAGGGTCTAGACAGCTAGATGCTTTTTGGTTTTTGCCCCTTCCTTCTCTTTAAGAGTGGAATTAGCACTCTGGATCAGCTGATGCACAGGGTAATTCAGCTACCGTTTTTAGAGGCAGATCCAGGGTCAGTGCTGGCTTCAGGAAGGCTTCTGCGTTATATTAGCTGAACGTTCACTTGAAGCCTAGCGTTCAGGTTGCATCCCTTCACGTTCGCGCCACCCTCCGCTTTCAGAGCAAGAGTGATGTGATTTAATCAAACCGCATCTAGTGGCTGCCCCAGTTCGACCAGTTACTGCTCACTATTCCCAGGGGTGCCTTTGCAGTTAAACTACTGCATGGCCCCTCCCTCCCCCCAAAAGCAGTGCCAAAACACAAAAGAAACAAAAGTTTATCTAATAACTTCAAAGGATCACTGGAGAGCAAGCACTAGTGAGTTAAAAATGTGTTTTAAGTTGTGGCTGGCTTTGGCAGATTCAAAAGACAGGGCGGCCACCATGAAATGGGGGTTTAATTCTGGGGAGATGGCTGGGCTCCTCAGCTGCACTTTCATTAAATTTCGCCATGGTAAAGAAATAATAATAATAATAATTAAGGGTTATCGCAGAATTTACAAGGCTTTAACTGGGAGATGGGTCTGGAGCGTTGTTTCCTTCCCAGAAAGGATTTGGAAGATGAACTTATTTCTCGGTATTGGACCTGGCTCCTGTACTGGGTGTGGGCTGAAGCGAAAGCCCGGCCCAGAGCATTAAAAGCTGAGCTTGAAGTCTGGATGCGAATTCTTGTGTCTCTTTTTCCATGATAAATTCAATCCCTGGTTTTGCAGCAAACAAGAAGCTGGTGACTAGAGAGAGGGACTCTCGTGGGGAGGGCAGAGAGGCGAGCATCCCTGCCGGGCCCCTCGCTTGCTTTTCTTGTCTATCTGCCCGGGGCAGAATGGCGCCAAGTTGATGAAATATCAATTTAGCCTGAACAACAGTGGCTGGAAACATCATCAAGGCATGTGATGATGATCAGAAGGGGCTGGTGTATGGGCTCGGGCTAACAGAAACATGTACCCTCCGGAAAAAAACCCGCCAGGAAGGCTTCCCTCCTCTGTAAAGAGACACTTTCAGTTTCTACACCAACGATGCTCCAGGACGTGTTTAATCGGGAGCTGAAACCATTGGCCAAACTGGAAGTAAAGATAAAATCCCTGGCTAAACTGAAGCCATAAGTTTCTGCACAAACCATATGCTTCCTCTGGCTGAAAGTCCTCAAGTTGCAACCAAAGGATCTTTGCCCGTGATGCCTATTTCCAGCACAGAAGCACCTTACAATCTCTTTTTATAAGCGTCTGCCCTTCTAGGCATTTCTGGGTCTCACTGTGGCCTTATCCCAGCTTGCCTGCATATTTCTACTGCGATATCTGCAGCTGGACGAGTGTTGCAGAACTGCCAGCGGCAAAAATTGCTGAGTCTGATTTCAGAAGCCTACAGAAACGCCTTAGAAAATAAAATGCTGGGGGGGGGCCTTTCATTTGCCTTTTCAAACACTTTCATGCCACTCTCAGCGTAAAAGCCTTGTCGTTAGGTACCCGTCCTCTTAGGTTTCCTTCCTTTCTCTGGGAAGGGGCCCTGAAATAGCATTACAAGGTTACTGGGATAGCAAGACCCTGCCGCGACTGGGTTCCTGTCCTGAACCCGTCCCTGTTTGACCAGCTCAGCTGATTCCAAGTCTCTGCTTTCTTCCCAGGTCTGGAAGACCTAGGAGGTTTGCAAACTATATCCCCTAATCTCAGAAATTCCTTGGGGAGAGTTCATTGCAGTTTTTGTATGGGCTCCTTCCTCATCCTTGATTTTTATTTTTTGGTGCAAAAGGCAGACATCTGTATTTGAGACCCAGGCCACGTGGAGTAATTTTTCATAAGAGATTTTGGTAAACAGATGGTGTAACGTTTGCTATTCTTTGTGTCTCAGCAAAAGGCTCACTGCTGAGTGGCAACACGGATAACGTGAATTACTTTGGGACCGCGCTTGAGTTCAGTTACCGTATGCTTCTTGCGAAGTCCAGCGCGTGGTTTTGCCATGAGTTATGGTTTGCGCTCGGGTCATGCAAGCGTGGCATCTCCAGCGTGAGACATGCAGTCGACGTGCTCATGCAAAGAGGATGACAGGACACAGCCATGTCAAGGAGCAAAAGAAAACCAGCTCTACAGTACTGGTGATCTTGTATCGGCCAAGCTTGGGGAGAGCAGCTGCATGCTGTGAAATGGTCTAGGTGAAATCATGGATGTGCTTTGTTCTGTGATTTTTTTTTTTGTTGTTATTTTACCTGATGATAATCTTTTCTCAAGGGGTGGCGGCTGCATTACTTTCTCAGCTGCTGTTGGAGGAAAAATTGTGTGGGTTTGGTTTTTAAACTATCCTTTCTCTCTGATTCAAACATTGTTTGACAGAACAATAAAATGCAAAAGGATTAACCCCCACTTGGTACTTACATGGTTTCAAGCATTTGCTAATGCATTCGGCTTCAGTCTCAAATCTATTGGCATTACCACCGCAGCCACCATACCAAACCTGGCTGCAGATCTTGTTTTTGTAGTCAAAGAACCACACAACCTGATAGTCCTTGCACTGCATGCCCATGTCATAGTCCAGCAAGCAAGGGTCTGGCAAATCTGCGTTGCAAAATGTGCAAAGGTTAAATGATTCTGAAAGGGTTACAAGCTCAAAAAGCAAAGAGATTCAGCAAAACAAAACAAAAGGAAAAAAAAAAGCATTCAGAAACGTTGGGAACCAAAGGGGGCTGGATCGAGCCTTTGCAGGTGACTTGGGTCACATCTCTGTGATTCTGTTTCCTTGTATTTCTAAGCACAAGCTTTCCCCCAGCCTCCGGCTTTCCTCTCCCCTCTCTTGATTTTATCACTTCTCCAAACCCGAAGCCCCTGAGCCAAAGCAGCAGGAGCCTTTTACTCCCAGCCAATGCGCACTGGATCAGGCCCTCAGACAATTACCCCGTCAATTTTCAAAGCTATTTGTCTTGGCATGAACTTTAATTTTTAAATGTGTTTCTTTTAGTTTTAAAGCAAGCCACACCTGGTAGATTTTAAATGCCTTAACGAGGATTTAAGCATATGTTCCTTTCCTGCCCAGAAGTGATAACTTAAGATCAAATCCCAGTGTTTTTATTAGCAAAGAAAGGCCGCCTGTGCTAGCAGCAGCTTTGCCTATATAAGGACTGCAGAATATGGGGCTTCCTTGGAGGCATGTGGGAAGATTTATGTGCGGACCTCTCCTAAGCCAGACCCTTCACACAGAGGACTGGAGAAGACTCAGTTAAACAACTCCCTCCAAATCCCCTGCTCTGGTTAATGTCTTTGGCCTGTTGAAGGACTCCAGATGAGTGGTGCCATCCTTGGAGGCCTTCAGGCAACGTTTTCCCCAGATTGCCAGCTACCGTAAATCCTTGGGCAGAGACACTCGCAGTAAATGGGTCACAAGACCCAGCCCACTTCTAGGAGCTGAGATGTAAATGTCTGCATTTGCTTTTAAACCTTAAGTTCAATGTACTTGTGGTAGCTGAAGGACTTCAGTGCAGCTTTGTTCCTTTTAGCCTGCAAAGCGCACATTGCGTCCATCTTCCGCTCAGGCAGAAAGACCTGCACAACGCTATACCGCTTGTTTCCAAATGGCTGATGGGTTAAACAAAGCCAACGGGGTGGTTTTCACCTTGGGAGACAATCCAGGTGGTGGCAGAGGAGAAGAAATCTATGCCAGTGACGAGACAGCATGAGTGGAAACACGGACAGGGTGGGATGTTGCAAATGCAGAAGACAGGAATGGTTCAGAGCATCACAGTGATGATGGGACATGCAACAAGACAGATGAAATGTTTCTTCCCTGGAGCCAGCCCTGTGGCCCCTCAACAGCAGCCAACCCCACCGGTGTCCTCAGGAGGCTGGAGGCAGCCTGGCCTGAGCTCCCCACTCTTCCTGTTCAACATGAACGTCCAGGCCCGGGCGGCAGCTCTCAAACTCTTACCTTTGTTCAGCACACTTCACCACCATCTCTCCACATTATTGAATCTCCTTACAAAGAAAATGAGCTATGGTGGGACCAAACGGGCTTAAGAAACCCCCAGAAGAGTGACTGTTTGGAGGACAAGGATGGTATGCCAGATCCATAGCCTGTGCCAGCAACAGGACTGTGCTGATTTATGAAGGCTGGGGGCCCTTCCACATTTGTGGAAGAAGGGTTACAGCCTGGCACTTACAATATGATTGAATATAATAGTGTTGATATAATGAGCTTGACATCAATGAAAGCGATGAGATGAGGTATTAACAGCTGCAAAGATTATGGGTTACTAAAACAGGTTAACGTGATGAATGATAGAGTAGGATCTGACAGCTTGCTCGTTAACGTTTTATTATGATAAGCCATTGATGCAGAGAAAAAAGGGAAGGGTAGCTGGGCTTATACTGGAGAGAGACTACAATTTAGTTGTACTCCCCTGTTCGACACTGGATCGATCCCCTGCTCTCCTTTTACTGTTGGACACACCCTTGATTAGAGCTCTGTGTTAAACCAAGACCCATTCTCTGTCCCAAATCAGCAGAGATTGAGCAAAGAAGCATCAGGTGATGCTCAGCTATATCTACATCTAGGTCAGCTAGGGATGCTATAGAGTGTAAGAGTGTGTCTGGTGGGAGAGGCTTGGAGAGCAGCATGTGTTTGGGCCCTACCTCAACCCTTTCCAGTGATGGAAACAGGACCCATTCCAGGTTCCCCTGTGAAGCTCACAGTGACTTCAGAGAGCTCTGGATCAGGCACAGGGCGTAGACCCCATAAGCCCTGCAAAGGTAGGAGGCTCTGCAAAGTGAAAGGATGTGTTGTCACAGCTTCTCTGATCTTAGTGGGGCTCTTCCTGCTCTGGGCTTGTGAAGTGGGCAATAGGAAGGCTGGTGCAAGTGGCCAGGCTCCCAGTGGGAATCCTGCCTGTGAGGCATATGTGCAGGTAGGGTCTGGCAGAGTCCCCTGTTCCGGTGCTCCCGCTGGCGCTGCTACTCACCACTTTCAGGCCCTTCCAGCGGCTCAGTGTTCAGCATCATGTTGGCCAGGGCTATCTTGGACTGTGGCGGGGTCTCTGGGGGAGCAGAAAGAGAGGTCAGCCAAAGGGAAAAGGGTCCTGCAGCAAAGCCCTGGGAGAGCTCCACCACCCTCAGGCAGCCAGTCTGCAGCCAGAGCATCGCCTCGGGCAGAAGCGGAGGAGGTGGCTTCGAATAGCCAGGGCGTAGAAGTAAACAAAATTGCTGGCCCCCATTCTAGCAAGGGGAACATGAGACACACACTGGTTGTAAGAATCAGCCCTGGATCTGTTTATCCTAGTACATATGTTTCAGAAGTGTTTATTGGATGCAGCTGACACCATGAGTAATACATGACTGCCCAGCAGTGCTGGGACAGATTCATGTTACTCTCTCCAAGAGACCGCTCCATTGCACGGTCATACTCTTCCTTCAGTGGTGACTCCAAAGGAGCTTCTCCCAGTCCCCTGCATAAAGAGCTGCTTCAAATTACCTCTTGCTCACTGCACAGTATGCAACTGGGCAGTGACTGTGGCGGAGTAGCCATGAACCCTCTGTAGCACAAACTTATATTTGCTCCTCTGGCCATAGAGGACAGAAATTGTAGAAAAAAAAAATTACATTCTCCAGGAGAACAAAGAGATCATGATAGATCTAGTCTTCTCTCTCCCCCACCCCCCACCCCTTAACCTTCAGGGGTTCTCCAGGTGTTGCATGAAGGCCTTTGCCTTTAGAGATGCTCTGACCACTCTCCTCCCATAAGGGCCTCACAAACCTATGGGAACTATGTGGCTGAGGACTTCCCTGGTGGAAGAAATCCCTTGAGATAGGAAGGAGAATGCAGTTCATATTGCATCATGCTCTGCAAGATTGCATCATATTGCATGTCGCCCCTTCCCAAGGCAAACTGTGTTTCATCTTCCATGGGGCTGCAAGGCAGGAGAGGGATAGAGCCACAGGAACAGTTGAATTTGCTTCTGTGGTGGGGGAAGTGTCATGTGTGGCTTGCGTGATGGGTGACAGTGCAACTCAGTGGTCCAGGTAGCAGCTTGTGGGTATAGGTGGCTTTAGCACAGTTTGTTCCCTTTCTAAATTTACTCCATAGGAAATGCAATTTCTCTTGGCATCATGGGCTTCAAGTCAGGGCATGCAAATGTTACTTCTACACATTGGTGTCTTTTCTCAACATTTTTGTGGGCACATTTATTGCTCATGAAGGTAAGAGACTTCAAGCTTGATCCAAACCCACTGAAGTCAATGGAAAGACTCCCTGCAAGCATTAGAAGAGGCTCTAAAGTGCCAGAATGAGCCAAACACAGCACTGGCAGGACCAGCACAAGCTTTTCCACACCACCTATGCAAAACTATAAAAATATTGGCTTTGTCTTATACAGCAACTTTTGGCTATGCCAAAGGGCTTGGTGAGCTGCACATGTGAGCTCCCAAAGGATTAAACTTGCCATTTAATCCCTTCTGTATGTTTTTGCTGGATAACATGTTATGCAAAGCAGATAGGTGGCTATGGAAATTGCCATCTGAAAAACAGCTTATCTTGCTTGTTTTGCAATTGGGCTGGGCTGAGTTTATTCTATGTTAAACCAATTTGACTCATTATTAATTGCAGCAATGCTGGCTGGACCCCACCAAGACACATTGTGTAAAGCCTTCTGCACGCACAATGAGACAAATACCCCTCTGGGATTGGCTTTAATTCTACCACAGTATGTGTTGATTTAAGACCACTGGAGTGTCAACTTGTGTTTACCAAAGCAACACATTCTCATTGTTTCACAACTGGGTCCTGCTGCTGGGCTGTAAGATGTAAAAGGTACAGGGACACAACTGAGCGTTGCCAGGGCCTGGATCACTGTTAACAATGGATTTACCATCACTAACAGTTTTTCCATTTTTTTTTCTGTCCAACACCTTACATTGAAAAATAAATATTTGTTTTCTCCAGTGGACACTTACTTGTGCTGAATGTTCCTGTGTAGGTCACTCTGGGCTGGGATTTCTGGTAGCCAGTAATAACTACAAGGTATTTCTGTCCGCTCCTGAGGCCTCCGATGATGCACTCAGTGCCAGTTAGGTTTTGCTTCAGGACTAGAGAGTGGTCATGTGCTAAGGTGATGGTGATATCAAAAATATAAGAGTTTGAAGGCTCCGGGCTGACCCAGCGCAACTTGGCACTGTTTTCAGTGATATCTGCGATCTGGATGTCATTTGTCTTTGCTGCAATTCAAAAGCAAAAGAAACACTAAGTGAGGACCTCAGAGGAAAGGTCTCAAGGAAAAGGTGGCTTAGTGCTGAAGGTGCTGTTTTCCAGGCCACAGAGACTGAATTTGTCTGCAACCAGCTGTAGAACATGAAAACTAAGTTGTGCAGAGGTGGCCAGTGACTTTGGGCATCTCGGGTACCCAGCACCAAGTGATTTTTTTCTTAATACTCTGCTGTGAGCTAGAAAGAGTCAGAAGGCAAATCAAAGCAAACCTTTTACAGTACACATACAATTCCCAGCAACTGCAAACATGTCTGCTCAGATGTCTTCCCTAAGGTAAGAAGGACTCACTATACTGATGAAGATCTTAAAGCAAAACCTGCTTAAGAGCTGGCATAACCTTAGACAGGTGAAAGAAACGATTAGCGAAAAGTTTTGCTGCTCTGGACAAGGCTATGGCAGAGTATTGGATGAGGCCTTCAGAAGCATTTATTGGAAGCAGCAGGGGAACAAGAAATGTCCAGAAATGTTTATTCCTTGCAAGCTGATGAAAGCATAGACCCTTGCAAAAGCTGATTGCCCCATTTATATGGAGACATGTTCATTGACTGGTTTAGCGTCCCAGCGCTTTGACACGTTCTTTCTTTGTTTCATCTAGTGCAGAGACGCTTGCACCCCCTTGCAAGAGCACATGGGAAAGCTCTTTTACACTAACTTTGCTCATGTGAAAGAAGTTCATCGTTCCCAAAGAGGTTTCTAACGCTGATTAAGTGGTGAACAAACCGCAACTATTATTCTAACCGACTGAGAATTCGAACAACCTCATTGTATGAATCACCATAAATAGAAAAATTTCGCTAAGCTACAGTGAAAACATTGAAAGCGAATGGGCTTTTCACGTACCAGCGTGTCTTTTCCTACTGCCTGTGGTGGTGTTTGTCGTGGCCCGGCTGGAGACTTTGGTCTGGACCACGGTGCTTGCTGTGGCCTGTACAGTGGCGTTCGCCTGGGCCGTGGTGCTCGCTGGGGTCCGGGCTGGGGCTTTGGTCTGGGCAGTGGTGCTTGCAGCGGTGGTGGTTTTGGTGCGGGTGCTGGTATTTGCAACAGGCTTGACGCTGGCAGTTACTGGGGTGCTGGTACTTGCAGTTCTGCTTATAGTCACGTCGGGCGCCACGTATCTGTTCATAAAATAGTAGGATAAATTGTATGATAGGTCCTGCATCTGAAGACAAAAGTCTTGGTGCTTTCGGTGGAAACCCCCGAATCATTAGTCAGTTCTGGAATTCTTAACCTCAGTGATGACAGTAGCATGTGCTTCCTTCATACCCTTAATACATATATAAATATGAAACTAAACACAAATTTTAAATTATGTGTGTACTTCTCTATCTTTCTCTAGTAGAGAGATTTGTTGATTCTACACTAAAGAAATCAGTAACAGACTGATAATCCCGATTATCACTGAAGCTGCTTTTTCCTTTTTTTTCCAAACAGAAGTTGAGAAATGAGTGCTTCTGCCCCAGGTAAATGTCAGCAAAGCTCCTTCTCCTGCAGACAAACGGGTACTTACACTGCTTTGTGCCCAGGGTGACTGAGGTTCTTGGCTAGCTGATCACCCTGGAACCACTCACACTGCTTCCTTATCTCTGGAGATAGGTAGAAAGCAAAGTCACCTGGAGACAAAGAGAGCCTGGCATTAAACACTGCCTTTGAGGATGGCAGTTACTTATCAACACTGCATTACATATATTCCTTCTTAGTAAAAAACATTCTTCTCTCTTGGCTTGCTCTGTTAAAGGCTGTGTAATGTCTCTTGAAATTTGATGTGGTTACTGCAGCATCCAAGGCTGGTAGATTTGTTATTCCAATGTATAAACACGAGAGCAGTAACCACTGCAAGGGGTATACAACTTAGTCTGTCACAGGTAAACAGCATCCTTATAACAAAGCACTTGGAAAAAAAATATTGACTGTGTGGTTACAACAGTTAGAAGTTTCCCGGACTCCTGTAAGCAGTAAATGGAGGGGGGGGAAAAAAAAAAACTAACTGAGGGAACCTAAACATTTATTTACAGGGAAAGATGTGCAGATATTTGCTTCCTCTTCTACTGGAAGACATTCCCAAACCTGTGCTTTGTTAGCCTAGTGGATTGAGTTTCAGGACTTTTTTTTGGATAAAGCTAGTTTTCCTAGTAAGGGCCCATTTCTTGTCTCTGCTGGCCTGATCTGTTTAGCATCTCTGACAACTGGCTCTAGCTGGAGATCTGGCTTGGGATCTCTAGCTAAGCTGAGGTATGGATTTTCAGGGTGCAGTCTGCACATCCCAAACATAGCAACGTTATTTATCTCTGAACAAAGACTCCTGTTTCATCTGGTTCATAGATCTGAATGCAGTAACTCCAGATCTCCATCTGAGCAGGGCAAGTGTCTGCTAGACATGATGTTTATGCTGAAGTTAGGAAGGAAGATTTAGTGGGTATTCAGGGAGCCCTGGGTCAGCGCTAGCCTGGCTGTTGCGTTGCAGAAGGCCAAGTGACCTGGCAGAACCAGACCCAATGGGATGCAACCTCTTGCACGTAGCAGAACTGACCAGCTGGCCGCATTGGATCAGATCATGTCACGCCGGTGGGACCACAGAGACAAACTGGATAGAGGTGCAAAATCTACTTGATGGACCAACAGACTAAAAGGCTAGCAAAGGACGGGCCAGGGAAACCAAAGAAACAGACAGATTCGACTAGACAGACATATGAGAAGTAACAAAATAGACGAAACAGTTCAGATCTTATAAAGAGACTGGACAAAAGGACCACTTCAGTGGGACCCGCTGGCCAAAAGAGGTGATCAGGCCAGAGCCCACCCAGCAAGCAGTCAGATAGACCAAACCTGGCAGATTAACCACACTGATGTCACGTGTTGCCCTTTTCACAGTACTTTGGCTGAGGGATGTTATACTTACTTCTGATAAAAGATGGCAGCAGTCTCCCAAAGCGTAGTAAGGGCTCTTCATGCAGCTCTCCTGGTTTATCAACCAACTTGAAGAACACATCGTTAGGCTCGCTGGCTAGGCTGTAGATGTTCTTGGCATTCACCTTCCTGCCAATTCCCAAGACAACAAAGAAATAGCCTTTGCATTTGGCGTCGATAACAACCCTTTGCAGGTACTCGAGTTCCTGTTTTTTCACTTTTCCAGTCATCATCAGAACTATGACTTTTAGATCCCGAGGGTTTGGTGCAGCTTCAAAAATATGAGCCATTGTGTGTTCAATTGCACTTCCCATAGCCCTTGTGCCATAGAGCTGGGTCATTTGATTGTGCAGGTAATTAATGATCTTCTCTTTGGATCCATAATCAGTTAGTGAAAACTCCGTTTTTACTGGTGAGAAGCTTGAATTGGTTTCATATTCATAAGGAGCTTGCTGGAGAACTGCAACTCTTGCATGGTGCTGAGATGCTTTTGGATCAGAGCTGATTTCCAGGTTACTTACAAGGTGGGAAATGTATTTCTTCATCTCACTGAACTGCAGAGGGGTTGTAGACTCTGAGCTATCCATGATGAAGGCTATGTCAGTGTCTACATCTGTTGGGGCTGCCCTTCTGTCTCTGAACACAGGTCTCTGAATACCAAAGCCACAGATGGGGTCAGGGTCACACACATCTAGGGAAGAAATACAGAAGATTTCATTTGGATGAACTGAAGATGATCATCCCTTGTCCCTGTTAAAATCCCTTGTGTCATATAAAATACTACCAAGCCACGGACATTCACCAGTTTGTTACTTGATACAAAAGTCATTTAATCCCAAAGCATGTTTAGTTATGCATTCAGTATTTCTCATGCACTCTTTTGTCCAAAGAGATCCCTGAAGCTCTCTGTCATAAATGGCAGAAGGCCATATTTTACAATGCTTAGCCATTGGTGTTTGGGTTGTCATAATGGGAACAGGCCAAAAAAGGAGCTTCTCCTTATAGAAAGTGGAGAACGCCCATGCTAAGCAGTGAGCCTCATTCACAATGCCAATGTTTTCTGCTCAACCTGAGAGTATGAATCCCTTGTCTTCAGCAGCAAAAGGGCTGAATCCCAACTGGGCTTCCCTTCTGCGTTGCTGACAACTGACTGCTGCGCAACCAGTAGGATTTGGCACAGTCTAGAGGGGAAACTGTATGCTTTACCCAGACAAATGTGACAAGTCAAGAGTCTCCTGATAGTTTCATTCAGCTGATTGCCGCTGGTTGGAAGAACGATCGCATGCCCAACTGCCGTGTTGTTGATCTGGGTTAGATGCAAACAAAAAAACATGGCATTAGTAGTTGCGTCTTCTGCTATTTTCAGCTCCAGGTAAGGGAGGGCAATCTTGTGGTTAAGTCTAAGAGATTCTCTTCCCAGCACTCTGTTCTCCCTCTACCAAGAAAGCTACAGTACTTTTACTTTCTCACCTGTTGCCTTACTGTCCTAGTCATATCTTTCTCACTGTGGGGACGGTTTTTACTTCTGTTTCATCCTGCACCTGGCACGCTACAGCCATGGTCCAGGATGCAAATGACTCATCACAACATCATGAGATGATTAGTGTTTTGCAGCATCCCATGCTACATTGTGGAAGTCTCTCCTAACAGACAAGTTGGGACAAGTTTGCCCTGAAATACTTTCTTAGCATTAAGTGCTTGAAAGGGCTTGATCCGGGGCCTATAAAAGCCAACAAAAGTATGCCATTGATCTTCCCAGTCAAACTGGATTGAGGTCACAAATAAAAGAGAGTAAGAAGGTCACAAATAAAAGAGAGTAAGAGTGAATGATACTGACCTCCAGAGCTCTGATGAGAGCCTGGTCCTGTCTGCTGGTGAGGAACACAGGCATGACCCCGGCATCATAGAGTTTCAGCACTGCCTCATTGAGCTGCGGGGAGGCTCTCGTGTCCCCGTTGCTGAAAAATACAGCCACCTTCCTCATAAGGAACCCGCTTCGGGCACGCTTGAAGGTATTCCTGGCCACGAAGGACATGGCAGTCTCCAGGCTGCGGGGTTTTGTGGTCAGGGTTGCTTGGAAGTTTTGAATCTGCTGGAGGAGGCTTGATTTCTTCCTGGCATCAGCGAAGCGGATCTCGGTGGTGACCTCGTTGTTGTAGGTGACCAGTGCCACCCGGGCACCCCGGGGACAGTTGCTCTCGGCAATGGTTAAGTTGTTAACCACTCTGAGCACGGTTTGCTTCATCCTGTTGATAACTTCCCTCCCGACGCCTGAGGAGGTGTCGATAGCAAACGCCAGCTCAGTTGGGAAGACGGGGCACTCCTTGGGACCTGCCAGAAACGTATGTTAGGAGCAATTAGTGCCAGATGTTTTCATTAGTGTGCAAGGACCAGGTTCTCAGCTAGTGTAAATCATCCATGCTGCCACAGAATCGCATGAGCTGATTTACTGACTCGGTGAGAATCTGGCCCCCAAAGACATAGTTATAATGGGATTTAAAGGACTGAAGGTGACTTACCATAGCAACAAGCTGTGAAAAAGATCAGAGAAAAAAGCAATTCAGTCAATGAAATTCATATAACATGACTAACAGACAAGGTGAGGGACAGAGAATTAGCAAAGCACTGGTGTACTCACGGCATTTGTCTTTGATGTTCCGGACAAGGGCGCATTGCTTTAAAAAAAGAAAAAAGAGAGAAAAAGGGGAAAAGATTTGTGACATGGTAAACAGAAGAATATTAAGAAACAGCAAGGGAGAAATGATGCCACACTTACATCTCTGGAGTCTCCTTTATCACCTTTAAGTCCCTGTTTAAAAAACAAAATGAAATTGATTGAGTGCAATGTGTCTTTTAAGGGTGTCCCATGAGGCCATTTGGAATTACTGTTTAACAAAGGATCATGCACAAGTAAAGGGGAAACCTGGCTTTTTTCCAGCTTTATTTCCAGGAACAGGTAAGAAACATTTGTTTTTTTGCCTCATTGGCCTTGCTACATGACATATCAAGCCAGATCCTCATTGCCACAACTGTTTTTCTCCCCACGTGGGCCGTGAGCTGAGATTCATTCCTAGGTGGAGGGTCGGTGCGTTGTAAATGCCATAACTACCTGGGGGATTTCATACCCACTTTACGATGGCTGCAGGCACAGGGACGCTTTTGGGGTGTTAAGCATAGGCCCAGATAAGGGCTGCAGACTGGGGTGAGACAGTAGTTTTCTCCCTGACCCTCCATCCTTACAACTTTGTGGGAGGTGACACACAATCTCCGGGAGGAGCACCATGTCACCTACAACTGGGATAAATCCTGACTGAATTTCAAGTGTCAGCAAGGCCCAGCTGGTCAACTGGCGAAGCGTGTGCTCTGCTGAACAAAGCCTATTGTTTCCTGGCTTTATTCCTTCTTCCAAGCAGGGCAGGAATGGGAAGTTCCTGGGAGTACAGCAGACACATTTGGTGCTTTCCCCACCCTTTCCCATTTTGTGGCCTTGCCCCAAACCCTCTTGTCTCCCTCTGGCTCTATTCTTGCTTTACGTGGGCACCCAGTGGCTGCTCCTAGAGGAAAGGGACAAAATAAAACCCCAAAGTGGGTCAGAGGAACGACACGTGCGCTTTCAGGCCTGCTGAAAGGAGCTCAAGGAGCACTAGCGTTTTGAGCAGATTAGTGACCTCTGGTTGTTTAAAAAAAAAAAAGTAGCCACACAAGTTCCATCTCTTGCCAAGGGTCCCTGCAGCTAAGGAGTTGGCAGCATCTCCTACATTATTCTGTAGGAGATGTCAATATGTCCTCGTGATGCTGCAGGGTGGGATTTAGCTGTTGTGGTTGGCAGGTTTCCAAGGGATCGAATGCTGCAAAGGAAATGTCCCACGTGGGACGAGCATAGGGAAAACGAGCAGATCCGACAGACTCCTTGGCCTTGAATGCTCCTGCTGCTGTCAGCTCTGCTTTCAGATGGATGAGGACTCCTGAGTGGCCCAGGCCAAGAAGGCATAACTCCTCCCCTCCTGCTCCCACTTACAGAGGGGGCAAAAAGCCCATTTGATGACTGCCCTGATAACACAACACCTTCTGCAGTGGAAAGATGTGGAGGAAACCTAACAGAGGCCAAAGCCAAAAGGGGACCACCATTTATAGCGCTCTAGTTTGAGTTCCTGTCTAAAAGTAAGCCAAATAATGTTGGTCTTTCCATGTTGCTCTGTGCTAGGGAAGCAGTCAGATCTGGTCAGGCATTTCCTGAGAGGGGACGTAACTGATAAAGAACTGAGAACTTCCTATAAGGTGCTTTTAAGCAGCATGTGACCACTAGGAAATCCTAGTGCCTGAAAAATGCCTGTCTCCTGACTTTTTCCTTCTGCTGTGCACTGCAGTTTGAGCACTGGTGAATATTTATTGGCGATGCTAGTGAGTTAGGAATTTAGAGAGACACATCCAAGACAAGAGAAGACGAATTTGCCCAGCTTCAGGATGGGAGGAGATGGACGTGGGCGTTATTTTTCAATCCCTGGTACCCTTAGGGAGCCCCCAGGTCTCTCAGAGAGGTCGATCAGGAGGTTTTCTGGGGCAGAAACAGGGGGGGAAGCCAGAAGTGCATTCAGCCGTTCATGCAGGGAACACTTACAGACGGTCCAGGATATCCAACCTCTCCTTTCTGACCGGGTGTCCCAGGGTCTCCTGCATTTCCCTAGAAAGAGAGCAGGGAAGTCCTCCAATTCACCGTCTAGATGACTAAGCAACCTAGAAGCAGAGGTCAGGGAGGAAGGAAAGTCTGATGGGCAGTGAGCTTCCCCAGAAGGCAGCATGGCAAAGTACGTTTCTGAAGCAGGGTCAACAGGGCCTTTCACAGTGGCTTACGTTTTTGTTCAATAAAAATGCCGCCTTACTCTAGGAGGCTTCTATCCATGCATGCCTGTAGGAGGACTCCTAGGAGCATGGGTCAGCACTTGGGGGAAAAGATGTGCTCATCTTTCCAACTGCTCATGCGCAAGGGCCTACTGGGAGAAATCATGTCATGGTCAGACTTACTCTGCGGCCTCTGTTTCCTTTAGGGCCAGGGCCTCCAACACCACCACGGTCACCAGGTGAACCCTGAGGTTAGGAAAAAAACACAAACAGTAGCTCTAGATCTGCACAGGACGCCAGGGAACTGCTATGTTGCTTGGAAAAGGAATGTATAGTAAGTTGGCTGCGCCGTACCTTGGGGCCTGGGTAGCCTATGAAGCCTCGTTCGCCCTGAAACAACATAAGAGTTTATTTGAATCAAGAGTTTTAGAAAATAATCCTGGTTCTACAAACAAATTTGCAACAATTTAAGGTATTAAATGATGGAGAGAAAAGCGAGAGAGACTTAAAGTTCAATTTACAGTGTTGTTCCACGTATGATCAATGGAAACAGTCACTATTTTTAAGGTCTCTAAAGCTAATATCAACTGTAGAGGAGCTGTCAGAGAGGCTGGCTTATTATTTTTACAGTTCCACAGATATGCATGAGGCTTTCTGGCTAAAAGTTACTAAAAGCTTCCTCCCTGAAGCTAATATATGCTGGTAAAACCAAGACAAAAGCAGAAAGGAAGAGTTTGAAGAGTCTTGCCTGATTTTTCCACCAGGTTACACTTAGCGCTGATTTCTGTGGCTATATGGAGACTCTCTGACTTTACCTGGGCTATGTGCCCCTGTGCGTGGTGACCTCTGTTAGTTCCTTGTCCTCGGTTTGTAAAGCCCAATAAGGGCTATTGTTAGAAGGATGTGCGTACCTTTCTGCCTGTAGGACCAGGCCCACCAATTCCATCTCGTCCATCATCACCCTAAAATGGGAAAGCCAAGGGAATTAATGTGTTGTCCTGCATGAATAGCTTAAACATCACAGATCCAATGTTCAGGGATGTCAATAACAAGAACCCATTGATGCTAGAGGCCCTTGAGAAGTCCTTTTCTAGATGAGATTTATGTTAGAAAGAAGCAGAAAAAAAATCAGTACTAAAGCTACAGATCAAATTAAAACCTACTTAGCTTGTACACACAATGTGTAGAATCCAGGCAGAAGTCAGCTATGGGGAACAGGCTGGGACATGACTCCCCAGTTCAGCCTAATGACAGATGTACACTTAATAGTCGTGTCTGACCCACTTCCCTCTCTTATATTATACTATATGAGATGCAAAGTCCATAGGGGAGCTAAACTTTCTGCTGTGGAGGGCTGCAGCCCATTTGCCCTAGGAGAGGGTTTAGTCCGGCATCCCTAAAGGTTTGCATGCATGGCCATACTTACCATCTCTCCTCGGGGTCCCTGCTGCCCATTTGGCCCTCTGGGTCCAGGGTTTCCAGGTTCACCCTGAAGAAAACATCCATTAAAGCATATGATGAAACTGCAGGGGAGTCCAAGCCTTTCCCACCCCATAAGCAATGGTTTCTTTAAATAAAACCAGCTTGCAGTGGTCCTTACAAGCGGAAAGGCATGACCTGGCATATACAGCTATAAAAGTGCTTATTCTTTAGACAGGCCCAGTGATTTCAAGAAAGCTGAACGATGTGGCATAGCACACCAGGAAATCCTACCCAAATGATGATACTGTTAGTGTTTGCCTTTTATAAGCACTCAAAAGATAAAAGCTCCCGAGCCCTGGGAGGGTTGCCTATGCAAATCAGCAGTGGAGCAGCCATGGAAATGACGCAGTGTGTGCGTATCTGGAGAGAGAAAACCACATGGGTGGTCTAGAAAGGACCAGCCTGACCACCTCCCCATGTGGACACCAGCTGAGAATTTGCCGTGGAAAATTACTTAGGGATCTCACAGTCACTCTCGCTCAACGACATTTCTCTCTCTGGTCAAAGAAATGAGACCCTAATGAAACAGCCTTGCTGTTTAGGGTTGCTTTAGGCCACACTACGCAAGCCAGTGAAGATGAGTTGATTTTGCTCCAAAATGGTCATTTCCATTATGTTTTTGAAGCTCATACCTATCCACCAGCTTTTCATTACTATTTTAGCCAGGGATGCCCTGTGCTCATCAAGACGTACCTTTCTTCCCAGGGGACCAATCCTGCCCCGCTCTCCTGGTGTTCCCAGTGGGCCTCCACCACCCTGGAACAGAAACAGAGGGAGTCATATTTGCAACATGTCAATAAAACCGGCTGCCTGGAAACTAGAGGACTTGAGAGGTGGCAGTCCTTTATTAACAGCTAAAGCTGGTGCCTCTCAAAGCACCTTAGGAAATCCAGAACTTGAATTCCCAGTTAGGAAGAACTGAAGGAGCCAGTCAGTTCAACGTGAATGTTAGTAGCAACCTATATTGTCCCTAGTGAAACCCCCGCCCCCAGGAAAGGTGGAAGTAGGAGAAGCAAAGTCCTGTTCAGGAGATAGGTGGTAGGGAGAAAGGCAAGATATGTCTGGCTTTACGGTCACAAGTCTTGCTGGGATAAAAGGCAGGAGAGAGAACTGCAGGGAGGGCCCCCAGTAAGCATGCGAGATGGTTGTGCTGTGGCCTGAAAGGCTGAAGTGCCACTGAAAATGCCCCGCCGGCCACTGAGTGATGTTAATTGATTTTGAAACATCACAAGCCATAATGGGTTAAATCCTCAAGTCCTGACCCCTTTGTGGCTGCTTTTGATTCCCTCTTTTCTGTCACTCTCAGTCAAGAAACCTTTAACACAAGTTGAGAGGAGAATCGTATTGAAAGTGTGTGTTATTAAGGGAGAGCGAAACAACGGTTGGAGCCCTAGATAGGGAAATGGGAAGATACATTGACTGCATCTTAGTTAGGCTCTGCGAGATTTTCTTGCTGAGTAGCTTTTGGTTGCTGACTGAGAAGCAGCAGAAAGATTTACCCTGGGCCCAGGAACTCCCTGCTCTCCTCTCAGACCTGGTGTGCCAAGCTGACCAGGAGGACCCTGTATGGGGAGAAAAGAGAGATTGCATAAAGTCTGAACAGTAACAGGCAGAGCTGCATCTTCTAAGAGATCCCCTGGGATCTCGCACTGCACCCTGGCTACTGCACTCGAGAGATGGTTTTCAAACACGTCACACCTTGCACGGTCCTCAACGCAGCAGCAGGCTCACGTCCCGGGGCAGCACAGCCCGGCTGCAGCGCACCCCCGGGGTAACCAGGGCACGACAGCGCTTGCTGCCGGCGCTCCTGGAGGACAACCGCCTACAATGCAGTACGCGGCTCTGACGACATAACCTAACGGCACCACAAAGTACATTTTTCCTTCTCCGGCCTGCAAATTCACTGACCTGTGGCCCTCTCATGCCTTGTTCTCCATCCGGCCCTGCTTGACCAAGTGAGCCTTTGGTACCCTGCAAGTGCAAAACAGTACACAAGGCAGGTTAGCATGGGGTGACGTGGACCAGACCATGGGAGCAGTAAGGGGAACGGGAGAGGAACTTCAGGGAACGGGAAATCGCTTTATAGCTACATGGGAGAGAAGAACAATTTTATTTTTTTGTACAATAGAGTTACAGCAGAAAATGAATACAGAACTGGTGGGTTAATTTGCCTCCTACACTTAATGGACATAAATCTCCTTTATGTTTTAGTCGCTTTATGCTAGTCTAGCAGCACACAGAGAAGAATGTGACCCAGGGAACACTACTGAGGACACACAGTCCCATGTACAGGGATGTCTATTTTTGCACTGAGCACTGAGTCCTGCTAGCACATGTAGGACTGATCTAGTGGTCTTCTCAGCCAGGACATGGAAGGAGCCTGATAGTACTGCCCATGCGATTGAGAAACCCTGATCCGGCTCTGGCAAGGGAGGCCACCACCAGCCCAATTTCACAACAGCGGGAGGGAGGAGGGAAATTCAGAGGAGAGACAAGGCAGAAAGGAAGAAGCAAAACCCACATCTCTTTCCGCTTGGCACATCCCTCTCAGCTCTCTGGCTGCCTCAGCCTACGGCACCACAGAGGCTCAGGATACATTGCCAGGGGCTCTGGTTACAATACCGAGCACCAAATACTTACTTTAATTCCTATCGGTCCCCTTCGTCCTGCCATACCCTGTGAATGAAGAAATGATGAGACTTGTTAGGCAAGGCACATATGAGCAAGCACATGTGTTTCTCTGTTGCCCTTAGGCCAGCGTTTCTCCACTTCTTCTCACCCAAAATTTAAAGTTTAAATAGTTTAAACTACTGAAGATGGAACAGGGGGAGAGGAACGCACGCTCCACTTTGTGCAGAATAGCCAGCTTTCCCAAGACAAACAAACTTTGGCACGTGTACTTCTTCCTTGCATCCCCCTGCCTCTCCCTAAAGACAAATTGCTCACTCATGTGTGGGAGCATGTGTTTTGCCACTATTTTATGCAAGGTCTCCATGAACGCCTTGGCCGCGTACTCCTGGGAGACAGGCAGAGCAGCAGCGATCGCAACCCCAAGGCTTCAAATGTCCTAGCTATACTAGTTCCAATTTCTTTTTTGCCATATTACCAATTACAGCTGTCTTTGATGCCAGAGTAGATGAAGTGTAGCTTCACTGATATGAACAGAGATGCTCTGGTGTGAATAAAATCAAGATTAGACCTTAAAAGTCTATGAAGTAAATAGAAAATCACCAGGCTTTTTCATTTTAAGTCTTTTTTTTTTTTTTAAATCACTTATGAGAAGGCAAAAGGGAAGGAGGCAATTTTTTTTTTTAGGAACAAGATTTTTGCAAAGGGAAGAAACAGATCCTTGGGTGCCGTAAACCAAACTCGGCCCCCTCTGACTGCAGGCCTGGAAACTTACCTTCCTTCCGACTCCACCGTCTTGACCGCTTGCCCCAGGGAGTCCAATTTCTCCCTAAGGGAAATGCAAAAACTCAGGTGAGACCCCTGCAGAAAGCAGGCACTGGGAAACCAGGTTCAGTTCTGAAAAAAACGGATCCCTCCACGCTTTCACGCAAACTACTCGATATTTCAGTATTGATGGAAATCGTGCTAACAACTGACAGAGGCTTTGCATCACGTTTTGAGCAAGTTCAAGGTGACATTTCCATTCTTTGGGAAATGCCTTCTGAACATTTTAAGATGCATTTTTATTCTGAACTGAAATGAAAACGAGCTCTGAAATTTTCCAAGGGATGTGTGTTTTTTTTGAGCGGTCTCAGGTCAATCTGGGCATTCGGATTTGACAGCATAAACAGTTCTTAGCTTTTCAATACCAATTTGTAACAGCACATGAAGTTAATTTCCAAGCGCAAAGTTGTTTCCAATGGCAATCTCCAAAAAAGTTTTGTAAATAAAAAAATAGGCCTTTTACACGAAACATCATCTAAATTGAGCTTTTCCCAGGGAAGGTTTCGATTGCAATATAACAATAATTTCCAGTGGAAAACCATTTCATCTGAAAATGCATGATGAGTTTAAGAAACTTTAACCTTTTTGGCAGCATCCTTTCTTCTTACTTGCTTTGTCCTATCTTACTGTAAAAAACAAAAAACAACAAAAGACAACAAAGAAGCTTTACCATCGGTCCAATTTCACCCTTTTGGCCTCTGGATCCCCGCTGAGTATTATCAGCTCCTGAATCTCCCTGAAAGCAATACAGCAATGAAAAACATCTGTGTAAGTGGGACATGAAAGTCAGATACCATAAATTATTCCATGATAGCTCATGACCAACATTTCTTTTCTTTTTTTTCTTTCTCCTTTTTTTACTGAATCAGATGAGGCATGTAACATTGATGTTTTCATACAGACACAGCATTTCGAATAAGAAATGTCTATTTCTTATTCCACAGTGCTCTGGAGAATAACCCCCGTGCCTTATTACCCATTGTAAGCCTGGGCTGCAGGCTACAAGGGCCAAAGCTGTTGCTCCTGGTCAAGGGGTAGTTAGTACGCCCGAGGAACGCAAGCTCGCCCTCTTGCAGAAGCCCCCTGGGACCAGCAAAGAGTGAGCAGAAGACAAGAAGACGCCTAAACCATATTTACCGGATCTCCACGGAGCCCACGATCACCTCGTTCTCCTTGTTCACCTTTAATTCCCTTATCACCCTATGGCAAGACACAGAGGGTTAGCGAGAGACGTGCCTCTCTGCTGCGTCCCATTCAGCTGAGGTTCCCGTCCCATAGGAATGGCCCCAAGGGAAGCATTGCAACCCTACCCCGGGACCGTGCCAGGCTTTCCCCACCCTCCACTCGCTCAAATCCACCCTTTAATCATCCGCTAACCCCTTTGTAACAGCTAATGTGATAAAAACCTACCCTCCTGCCGGAGTATCCCTTCTCTCCAGAGGAGCCTGGCAAACCTTTATCTCCCTACAAAAGAAAAAACAAATTAGAGCAATTTCTGCTGCTTTCAGGGACCTGCCACCGAAGTATCTCATTGTAAAGAAAAAAAGAGCAATTAAAATGACTGACCTCTTCTCCATCAATGCCATCCAGGCCCATTTCTCCTAGTTCACCCTGCAGAAGAGAAGCAGCAACGTGCAAATAGTGAAGTATTCACTGAGGAAAAGGAGAACGGGGTCGGGGGGGAAACTGATGCATTCACACATTCAAGCTCATGGCTGCGACGCTGGAAAATAGCTCCATACCTTCTCTCCTGGGAATCCACGAGACCCCTAAGGAGAAGAGAAAAGGAAGTTACCCTACTTCTGCCCAACTCATCCCTTCAGGAAGTGTTGGGGGAAGAGGGGCTATGCTTGGTGGCAGACCCAGAGTCGAGATTGGACTTGTATTTGAGCCAGCTGATCCAATAAAATAGCTTACTCCTTAGCCACAATTTTTTTTCCGCAACTAACTTATATTATCACCCAATTTTCTGACTCCCTGCACCCCCTTCTTAAATGAACCTAGATCCTAGGGGCAGCACAGAGGCACTTTGTCCAAGACTGGGCAGCTTTACAAGGAGACTCATTAGCCCAGCTACAATGAATGAGTTTGGTCTGCGTAATCCTCTGCTCCCTGCCGGGGAATCCAGGGTAGGAAAGATCACCTTAATGTCTCTGATATTTCCCCCAATAATTTTCACTCGTAGATATTGCTACTCAAGGAGGCGCTGGGGCTGTTGCGTGAGAGCCTGAAGTGACAGGAATAGGCCTCAGTGGATTTCCGCCAGCTGGACTCTGGGTCTGCTCTCTGCAGGCTCCTTAGGAACGTACCTTTGTTCCTCTCTGCCCAGGGCATCCCTGGAAACCTTGTGTCCCGTTGACACCCGGTGGCCCACGCTCACCCTGTCACGCAGGAGGAAAAGTGCGATAGTTAAGGTTTGCCCACTACACACATTTTTCTGGCTACCTGTATGTACTCGCAAGCTTGGGAGGTGGCTGGTCAGTGCCACATGCATGGAAGCACTGTGCAGCACGATTAAATGGAGCATCAGGCTTTGTAAGGTCAAGACCTGACCGTTGCTTTAGGATTGTCCCCACCATCTCTTGCCCATCTCTTGCCTTTGTCGTGGAGAGGTCAACTCTAAGTCTTCATCACTGAAACATTTTTGCCAGATTATGTTTAGTTCCTCAACTATGAAATAGCTTTTGGATTTCTCCTTTAGAAAAATGACAGCACCCCCTCGGAGCCCTACACAGAGCTCTAATCCAAGTCTGATCTTAAATCCCCAGGACAAAGTTGCATCACACATGGTATCTGACAGCAGCATTTGGCCCCTGCCTCTGATATTTTAAAAGCAAAGAGCAAAGCCAGCCCCTTGGCCTCCATTTCACCTTTTGGGTGTGATGCATGGGTTTATTCCAGAGGTGATGTGTTATTTCATGAAGTAAGACTTTGGATGAAGCGGTGCTTGTAAGAAATCATGGGACTCATGTTGTCTGCTACTGTGACTGATAGAAACACCCCTTCATGGTCCGATCTTTGGAGCAACTGGAGTTTCCTTTCTGCTGCATTCGATACTGATGCCTTTGGAGTAGGCCACTGCTTTAATGAAATTGGGGATTTTATTCTGTTCGTGTTCACACTTGCTGTGTTCATAATCACTGTCTTGCTCAAAGGTGACTGGAACCAGCTGCACACATTCCCACTTGCCTTGCAGGAATAGCATAAATCTGGGTCACCGTGAAAAATGAGAATGACTGCCCCCCACCAAGCCCTCTCCAGCTCTGAGAGAGAGTTTACTGCCCATCTCTCCGGGAGCAGCTGGGAACAGGACTGGCAACTCAGGACATCCAGCGAGAGGGGACAGAATAAAGTCCTGTTTGCTCACTCATCTAATCCACCCCTGTGTCCCCAGCAGAAAATACTCAGCAAAAGAAACCCTGAATACCATAGTGGTATGGTTAGATGCCTAATTTAAGCAGTACTGTGCACTTCAAGCAGAGCAGAGGCAATCACCTACCGGTCCTCCTTCATCACCAGGATAGCCTCCGTAGCCGATATCACCTGTAGCACCCTGGAAGACAGCACAGAGGATTTTTCATTTCCTTTCATAATTCAGTGATCTCCCACTAAAGTGATTTTCAAAATTTCCCTGGATTTGCCCAAAGCAGTTGCTTGGTCATCTATGTAAATAAGCTAATGAAAGAAAGAGTCTCCCTTTGACCTCCTCAAATTGTTTCACAAGACACTTAACCATGTACTTCCCACCATTTGTCCCTTTCCTCTTGGTTGTTGCATCTTAAATTAGACTGTAAAAACACCAAGGGAGGGTCAGCGGCTCAGTCAATTTCTTTGTAGAAGAAAGAAGACCTGTCCACCACCACTGTGGCTGGCCGGCTCTCATGCGAGGTCCTGCGGTTTGGATACGACCTCACCCAATGCAGTGACTTACCTTTGGTCCTATGGGGCCTGGCACTCCCCTGTCTCCCCGCTGCCCAGAGCATTTGCATGGGACCCCACAGCATGTCCGTTCTGCAATGTTGTCCTGCAAAGAAACACAAACAGCACAATGGGAAGGTGTTAGAAACCTAGCAGAGGCGCAGCATCATAAATCCTGCTAGCCTTCAGGGTCTGTGCAAGAGTACCTGTGCCGGTCCACCAAACATTTTGGTATCTCTCTCCACCTGGGAACTGCTGTGACAGCTGTCCAGAGAGATGTGTGTTGACAGACAGATTAAGTTGCATAGTTAGGGAACATAAATCAATGTTATCTTTCATATATCATCAGAGACATCAGAGGCAAGGGTTAAAATGGGAATTGAGTAGAGCAGAAGTTGGAGAAGACCTTTCAGGAGAAAACAGTGCCCGTCACTGAAGAGAACAACCTCATCTGTGAAGAAACAAATCTAGACTGTGGAAGATGCCCAGAGAAAATCTTTGCAGTGAGTAGCTCATCAGCAGCCCCCAGGCTGAGAACAATTTGTGAGCGCATACCGAAAGAAAGAAAAAAAAAGATATGGATTCAGAGAAATCGCAGCTTGGTTTTGCATCATCCACTAGAAATAAAAAAAATTGTTTTCTTTGCCAAGTACATTGCTGGCTGCAAATGTTTCCTGCCAGCTTTGCACATTTACATTTTGAAAGGATTTTCCTAGTCAACTGAATTGCGTGGGGATGGGCTGAAGACTAGCTCTTATCCCAAAAAACAAAGTTCACTAGTAAGTGGCATGACTGCACTCTGCTATGCAGAAAAGTGCCCAGCAAGGTTACCACAGGGCTCAGCCTAATCTTAATGGTTAAGCCTAATCTTATTTAAGGGGTTCATTAACCTGCTGGAAAAGGCGGTGCACAATACAGGTGGCAGATGTGAAGTTGGGAGGGACTGGACATACCAGGAATAATAGTAAATTAATGCAAAGAACTCTAGGGAGGCTACATACATGGGAGAGAAGAAAATCTATGAGCCTGAGCCTGGAAGAAAGGCAAGCTCCTTCAGCTGTCAAAAGTACGTCTGAAAAATAGGCACTGTCTCAACATAAGGAAAGAAACCTAGAAAGCTGTGCTTCTGCAAGAGGTTTAACATGGGCAACGCATGACTGCACATTAGCCGCAAGCTTGTAGTAAGGTTAAAAAAACAGCAGTATAAATATAGACAGAGGACTGGCTTTTTGGCATGGCAGTTTTTGACGGCTCCTTTCTTATCCCATTCGGCCTGATCACATCACACTTAATGCACTGCAATCTCTGCTGGGGCAGGGCTTCTTCAGGAGTATTATGAGATGAGAAAGTGCCATGATCAGCTCTTAACCTTATTCGTTATGGCATCTGTAAAAGAGCTCACAGGAGGTAGGGAGGGGAGAGGGCCAGAGCCAAGTGGCTGTAAATCGACAACTGGTTTAGACGAGCAGAAGATCCCGCTGTTGGCTTTTCTCCAGCATTACAAGGCAACAGTGCCTGTGCCAAGTTACTTACAAGTTGTTCTGCCAACTCAAAGTCCAAGTCCAGCAGATTAACTCTGAGAGGCCTGTTGTAGGTGAAACCCCGTCCGAACTCTAATCGCATCACTTCATCAAAATTTTTCACTCTGTCCAGGCCAACAAAGACAAGAGCGTTGACACCTGAAGAGGATGAAATAGAAGGCACTGTGTCAGGGCAGGGTGCTGTGCTGAGCTTGCACACCATCACACAACGCTAGGTTATCCTCTGCCTCTTCGATTGCCAGTGAAGCATGTTCAACCAAGAAGGGGCCCTGTTGGCAGTGGTTGGCCACTTTCTGCTGGAAACCTCATCCCTTGACTGCTTATTTTTGACCTGACATTACCTTGGTCCTTGCTGGACCATTTCTGCAATGCCTCTGAAGGTTTTTGGACAGTTTAGAAGGATAAGGCCTATGGTTTCCATCACGCAAGGCTGTCTCCTAATGTCCCCTGGGAATGCTTGCCCTGGCACATGTGTGCATGCAAATATTAACCAAACTAAACGAGGTGAGAGACTTGGGATCACGGCATGTCTGGCTCTGCCCATCCCTCCCTTTGCGTATTACATGCATGCTTAAGTGCCAACAAGTAACTAAGTAACCAGGAAGATGATTAAGAACAGCAAATAGATGTAGAATTCACTGCTAATTTGTTGAACTCTTTGGTTTTTTGCTGTCTAAAGGTGACTGATTCATTAGAAATGGTGGTAACATGGGCTGCATCTTAGCACGGACTGTAATTACTTGCTAGCTCAGTTTAAAAAATACCTTCTCTATGCAAAGCAGCCGAAGCAGCCTCCAGCTGATCCATTGAATCATCAGCACCATCAGTAAAGTGGATTACCACCTGAGAGAAAAAGAAAATTATTTAAGGGCCAGTGTTTTCCAGCTGTGAAGCATAGTCACACACAGCCTGAAATGCCTAGCCAGCCTCTCAAGTGGAGTATCCTGGCTCAGCTCCTGCGGCTTCAGCAGAGTTGCACCAGCAAGAGACCTAGGTCGCAGGCTCCAGAGGTGGTCTTGCTGCAGCGTGCTGTCTTCCAAGTGATGTTTTATCTGAGGGGTGAGACGAGGCTATGCTTTTCATGCCTTTGTGGGCTGTGAACTTTTGCATGTCCCTGCCAGATTTACGTATGCCATATCATCCAGGTGTTTGTTTATAAAGTGTTAACAGCTAAAATCTGGAAAGCAAGCCATACAGCCAAACAGGGCTCGTGGCTGCTGGCTGCCGCAGTGCTCAGCAGTCATCAGGACAGGGCCTTCACAACGTTGTGAGAGTACAGGAAGTGAGTATGGTTTAAGTGACCAAAGGATAGGGCTTTATTTATGAATTTACCAGCACTTTGTTATCTAAAATACATCATAAGGCAGCTTTTCCCGATGGTGCTGGCCTAGTGGCCTTGACTTCATGCCCTGCTGGAGAGCCAGGCTCAGTGTAGCACAGTTTTCAAGGCAGGGAGAAATCCGAGGAGGGCAATGCTGACTTACCTTGGTGCTGCCAGAGGGGGCAGAGCTGAACTTGTTCTGATAGGATTTCAGAGTGTCTGCCGTGAGGAAATAGGGTCCCCGGGTGCGCATGCCTTGAAACCGCTCGAACAGCTCTGGCTGGTACTCGGAGAAGTCCAGCCCTTCAATGGGTCCCCCGCGAGCCTGGGCCATGATTGCCACCCTTACGTTTGGTGCCTGGCTCCCTGTACAGCTGATCTTCTGCATCTGGGTTATTCTGTTCAGCACAGACTCTACTCGGGACTCCAGCCCTCTCTGGGAATTGAATATATTTTGCCCAGCCCCAACATCTGAGACATCGAAGCCAAGTATCACATCTACGTCGCAGTCTGAAAAGCAAACACAGAAAGAGAGGATTTGAGCAATGGAAAGGCTGCTCTTTAAATAATTGTCTTCCTCATTTTTCTGTTGGATGTTAGAAGCTCTCTGGGTTGAGAACTGTCACCGTTTGATACACAAGTCTGACAGGGTCCTGGTTCTGCTTCAGACTTCCTTTTCCCACAGTAGTCATAACTAAGCAGTTAGCTTGGGAAAAGTTGTGCTTTTTTTTTTTTTTTTTTTTTTTCTAGATTGAAGAAAATTGCATAGCTGATTAATATTTATTTTCTGGTGGGGTCTTTTTTTTTTTTTTTTTTTTTTTTTCCTGTGCCACTATTGCTTAGCACTGGGAGAAGCTGACTAAACTAAGTCTAATGGAAATCTGCTGCTTTTTCATTATGCAGCCAAGACTGCTCATTTCTCTACGCTTTGTGAGAGCCCGTCTGTAATTTTATAGTGTGCAAGCAGCTTCTGCCTGAGTTTTAAGTGACAGTCCTCCAGTCATGCAAAGGTAGAGGTAGGAGGTGAGAACCAGTTGCTTGATCTGAGCTTTCCGAGAGGCATTTTTGCCATGGCTAAGATTTATGTGGGACAGCCTGGAATTAAGGCAGAAAGGATCTGTCTCCAAAGGCAGTGAACTCGCTCGGTCTGTGCTCGCAAGGCTGCGTCCCGTTCGGCCTCGCGTTGTGGGAGAGATAATGCCGAACTCAGCTCGTGCCTCCAAATGGCAGTTGTCCCATGTGGTCTCCTGCGAATAGTTCAGACACAGCTCCCGTCTCACGCTTGGTCCTTTCCTAAGACTAACAAAACATTAGCCTCCCCACATGCCTTCTCTCCAGTAATAGCAGAGTATGACTCAACCGCAAAGATCAGGGCTGCTTCTGTGCAATACTCGGACTACAAATGGATTGAAAGTGGTCCAGGACAGCCAGAGATCCTGCATGATTTCCATCTCACAAATGTCCCAGTGACCCAGAAAGGGCAGATCCAGAAGCCATATGAAGTGAAAGTGTTGTTGCCAAGACATTTCTTTGACTTTAATCGTATTGAAGCTCTAGGGTGGTAGGGCCCTTCCCTGAATTAGGGCGGTGTTTGCAGTTACCACCAGCGGTGATTTCCTTTTCCCTGTACTTGTTTTTTCTTGCCTAGTCTGGAGCTGCTGCTCCATACAGAGTCACTACAGCTCTTTCTCTGTTTCTCCAGAGGTTCAGGAGACCTCTCTACTCAAAAGCCAAAGGGGAAGGCTGAGGTGTGATCAGTCAAGCAAAGCCACTTGTGGGGGGGTAGGACTTGCCTTAGTGTAGTAAATTAAACCAGCTGAGGGGAGTGTGGTCTGACAGCAATATAAAATCACTTGCCATATTTTCCCTTTTTTGACTTCTGAAATGGCCAAAGCATACAATTCTTCTAAGGCAATTTTGCCTTAAATTATAACCATTAGTGCCCTAGCTTTTTCTCATATACTGATAAGATCGCCAGCTAGATACTCTAGATCTGTTAATATGATCTGGCAAGAGAAGTTCTTATTGCCATTTTTACTAGCAGCACGCACGTCAGGCTGAATGGCCAGAAGTCCATTTGGCCTGGTTGTAAATACAGCAGGCAGAATAAGAACCACCACTCCTCATTTTTGTGCTAAACAAGTTGGTCTGGCAACGTTATGAAATGACCGGCATCACGTGCCTACACATCTGGGGAGGTGTCTAGTGAGATTTAGACCACAAAAGGCAGTTAAAGGAGCCATGCCAGCGCGATAATAGGAAGTCAATGGTGGGTAATTTAGTGACCGCTTACTTTAAAGGTGAAGCAATTATTGTCAGGCCATGTCTCTTGTGCCATAGCTTGTCATATTTGAAATTCTTGCATCGTGATTGCATCTCTGAGGTGACAGTACACCACAGTCCCTCATGCACTACAGCCCACAAACAGGCAGCTCTTGTAGCGAAAGTTTACAGCCTACTGCCATGGTCATGGAGAAGGCCTGAGCCCATGGTGCTAGGTCAAGCAATAAGCCAGTTACAAGAGTAGGCTACAAAGACACTGCTGGACAAGCAAGCCTGTCAAAATGTGTTGGATGTTAGGACTGCACTTGGGAGTAACCCGAATGCATTAGTAAAGGATTGTATTTACCTCTTGTAACATCTGTCGTTCCTGGGCACAGTTTCTCCTGCATAGCGGCAGCCAGTGTAACCAAAACTTGCTCGTTCAGCTCAGACAGCTCCTGAGCTGTCGCCGCTCTGAAACTCGTGGCACTTTCGCTGGCCAGCTTGCTCACTTCCTCCAGGTCAATGTTTCTCACGCCGACTGCGAATACCTTGACACCTTTCTGCGCTATTCCTAGGGAGGCGGTCTGCCCGTCATCTGAAGGTTTCCCTCCTGTGATGATGAAGGCGATCTGAGGTACCCTCTGATCGATTCTGCTGCCAGCTTCCTTCACGAAGTGTTTTGCCTGGAGATGCTTGATGGCTGCACCAGTGTTTGCCACCCGACCTCCTTTGTAGATCACTTTATTGATGGCATCTAAAATCTGGGGCTTGGTGGAGTAGTCCTTGAGGAAAAATTCATCAGTGACGTCTGAGTTGTACTGGGCCAGTCCTACCTGGATGGAATCGCCATCCTCATAAATGGCGTCCACTACTGAATACACAAACTGGATAACTTCTTGGAAACCATCTCTCCCTAAATTAATGGAGCCATCTAGCAAGAATACAATGTCAGCCTGCTTTTTACCACCTGGAAAGATTACAAAAAAACCAGTTATTAATAATTGTTTGCAGCATCTGTAATATTTCAGAAAGCTGTGCTTTCTGAAACAGCATTGTGCTTCTCTATTCCTTTTACTGTATTTTTAGCTCTATCAATTTTTTTCATGCTTTTACATCTTCACTAGAAGAAAGGTTTTATAAAGTACAACTATTATACTTCACATAACATTATTTGGTTTTCTGATAGAGATTCTCACCGTGTTTCAGATTAGATTCTATTCTTTCCTATGCTCAGCAAGGTCTTTTTCAAAGTGTTCTTTAAAGCAATGTGAGTAAATGATTGGGTTCCAAAGGGTATTATTATGGAGTCATTTACACATTACACAAATTATATCTGTGTACCAACCAGAAAAGCTTACAGGACGATTAGCAGTCTTACCGGGTCCTAAAATCCCAGGGGTTTCTGTTGTAGGTATGGGGAGTTCTTCAAGGATATTCTGGACCGTCTTTTCTAAAGTTGGGAGTTCTGTAAAATCTTGTACTACAAGTACGCGGCCAGGATCATTGGTAATGACCTGCAGCTGACCCCTGTCTACCTTCCTTGCTCCTACACCCAGGGGTTTAATGCTAGTTGAGGTGATCACGTTAGCAGGTCTGTTCACGTCATCCTGGGACCTGTCTCCGAGGAAGACAACTAGATGCTGGGGCACTCCATCTTCTATCCTGCTCCCTGCAGACTTAATGAAGTAGTTCTTCACTACGTAGTCTAGGGCTTTGCCGGCGTTCACGGGGGATCCTCCTTTGAGCCTCAAGCGGCGGATGGCTTGCAGGACAGTATTTTTGGTTTTGTGGGTTTTCAGGTAGAACTCGGGGGACACGTTATTGCTGAACTGTGCCACTCCAATTCTCACTTTATTTGGCCCAACTTCGAGCTGCTGAACAATTCTGCCAATGAAATCCCGAATGTGGGCAAGCCCATCAGACCTAACGTTGTCAGAGCTATCAATGAGGAAAACTATATCCTTTTCATCACCAGAAATATCTGCAGGAAAGCAAGAAGAAAGGAAATTTGCATGTCAAGTCTTTGTTTAAATTTTGCTGCAAGATTTCTGTGCTATCTGCTCTCATGTGCTATAGAAATGCACAGCATATTTTACCCAACTTTAGGCATGGTGCCTTGAGGATAATCTCCCAAAAGGGCTTGTGTGTAAGTGTGCATGCATGTGTTAAGATTCTGCTTAAAATTCTAAGCATGCATTACTCAGTCTTATCTGTTTTATTCTTCAACACTCATTTCTGAATTTGTCAGTGTTTCCAGCTGCATTTTGCCCCAGATTTATGTCTCTCTTTACTAGACAGCTGCAAAGAGCTGCAGAATAGGAATATGTAATTGTAAGCATTGCAGTCTTTGACTTGAAAATCACATTTTAATTGTGCTGCCTTTCCTTTTAACTAAGGAAAACCTCTGTTTAGAGAGAAGGGGTGGCAAGTTATTTACGCATTCTGGCAATTTCTACTTGGCTAATAATACAGAGGCAGCTAGTAATTAGAGAGCCTTACCTGGGGTGGTTGGAACATCTCCCAGGAGCTGTCGGATTTGGTCCTCAGTGAGGGTTTCAATAGGGGTCAGCAGCTTCTGTTCAAGGCTGGGCAATTCTTGGAAGCTAGACACTTGGAATGTATAATCAGGAGTAAGGGAAATCTGTGTCATTTCCTCAGAATCCACAGTCTTTACAACAACCAGAGGTGCCACCCCGACTTGTTTGACTTGGAGTGAAGGGTATTCTAAGTCGTCATCGGACTTGCGGGAGGAGAGGATGACCAAAAACTGAGGGACGCCCTCCTCTATGCGGCTCCCAGAGGGCCGAGTGAAGATAGTTTTTGCCACAAATTCAAGGGCCTCCCCAACATTGACCTGCTGGCCCCCCTGTGGCCGCAGTCGTCTCACGGCACTTTGCACCTCGTCCTTGGTGGAGTGAGCATTGAGCAGGAACTCAACACGGGGATGCTCGCTGAACTGGACCACTGAAATCCGGGTGGTATCAAAGCCCACGTCCAGGTTGTTCACTATCCTCTCAATTAAATCACGAACCAGGTAGAACTCCTGGGCAGCATACCGGGAGCCATCAATGAGGAACACGACATCTCTCTTCACACCCGCTGCGGAAAAGAAGGCAGAGATCAGCGGATGTATCGTACCTTGCCTGCAGAGAGTCTCTAAGCTCTGAAAGCTGCTGAGGCATTTGGAGGCAGGTAGCAGAGTGCACTGCTTCATCAGCTACGTCCCTGGACCATTCTTCTGACCAGGGGGAGGACGCTCACTGTTTCTTTCCCCATGATATCTCCTACGAGCCAGCAGGCAGCTCTGGGTTCAACCCAGGGACCAGACCAGTCTACTGGGCACATCCCTAGGGAGTGCAAGGACAGCAACTTTCAGAAGAAAGGGAAGCAAAGAGGGAGATGGGGAAGCTCAGAACAACAAATCCTAGTGGGATTTCCTCCCAAGAAAATGTTTGCTTGGTGCTGCTCCTTACTCAGGACAGGCTGCCAAACAGCCCTGGGTTGTTTTACACTCAGTACCACCCCTCTTATGCTTTACTCATTGCTTTGGCTTTGTCCTCTAGGGGTTATTCTCCCAACTTCTATTTCTGAGATGACTTTGCTTCCTAAAGAAAATGTTTTCTGCAGTGTTCCAGGCCAGAGCCTGAATTTTAGCTGAATATCCCATTCATAAATGGCCTGGGTGAAAACAGTCTGACTGAAAGGAAGGAGCAGATGCGGTAGAGTGGTGAACTTCAGAGGGAGTGATCTGGGGTGGGTATGTTTCACCTCTTCAAGACAGGCATATGCCAGTTGGATTTCACTCCAAACAAGACCAGGAATGGGGGATCTGATCCTTTTCCTGACACCCGCGTCCTGCTTGTCTCTCCCCAGTGAATGAGTGGGAGAGATATAAGACGGATCAGCAGGTCTTAGTGTGGCATTGACTGGAAGGTGGCATTGAGCAGAAAGGTGACCTTGATTTATAGTGGTGTGAAGGTGTCCCTGTAGTATGTGAAAAGAACCCATTTTCCATTTTAGGAGGAATGGTACAGATGGCTATAATAGCCCATTGACTTAAAATAAGATTAAGGTCCTTGCATTCATGTTGTTGGTATTCCATGTAGATGCAACATGGACCACACTGTGGGACTGGGCTTATAGATGTCTCAGTTTAATAACACAGCTCCTACCACCCCTAAGTGCATTGAAAAATACATTGACAGTGAGACTTGGAGTCTTGCTTTTCTCTGTTTGTGTTGCATCCATGATGTTAGCAAACATCATATTTTTGCCTCTGGCTCTCAGTGCAGACACAAACATCTCACCTGGGCTGGGTGATGTAAAAACCAGGTCAGGGGCTAGTGACTCTATCTCTTTCTTGGTTAGTCGGACGACTCTGTTGGACACAACCTGCTGCACTGAATCCAGCTGGTTGAAGTCAGGCACAGAAATAGCAAAATCTGGGAGGAAGGAAATAGTCTGTAGCTCTGTGAGGTCAGCATTTCCAATTCCAATGCCAAAGGGCACTGTGCCGCTCGTCTTCAGGACCACGGAAGGCCTCCTCACATCATCCTGGGAGCGGTCAGCAGTCAGCAGAATCAGGAACTGAGGGACACCCTCGGCTATCCTGCTCCCGCTTGACACTGTGAACACGTTCTTGATGAGATAGTCCAGGGCTGCTCCTGTGTTCAGAGGAGACCCTCCCATAACCGTCAGCCCCTGAACGGCGTTGATTAAATCCGCTTTGTCTTCATAGGCGTCGAGTAAGAATTCGGGTCTTATGACATTGCTGTACTGCGCAACGGCAACACGGATCTTGTCACGGCCAATATCCAGGCTTTCAATGACTCTTTGGACAAAGGTCTTCAGTAGAGGGAAACCTCTTCTGACACCATCCGAGCCATCAATTAGAAACACCACATCCTTCTTCTCACTTCTCTCCACGACTGTTTGAGACAATTAAGGGGGAGGGGGGAGATAAGTAAGATTCTCTTATGAAGCGGTTATTATTCTCTGAACAAAATGAACCAAAGGACTGCCAAAGTTTTGGGAGGGGAAAGTGATGTGTCAGAAGGGGTGGTTCGGTTCCTTTGTAATGAGACGTCCCTGGTGAAGAGGCAGATGGATAGAAGCTGGTGGCAACTACAGTGCAACATGTGCTTTGTCTTACCAACCAAGTCACAGAATCATAGACTCATAGGAAATAGGGTGCAAAGGGTCTCCAGGTGCCCCCCCCCACCCTGAGCTGTCTGCTCCAATGGGGGCTAGGAAGCTGTCATGTGGCTTTGGAAAAGGCAACAGGAGCCTGTGACATTAGGTGTCATTTGGTCCTAGAGAAAACTGAGTTTCTGAAGAAAATGACTTCATATGATTACTCCAGATGGGATGCTCAGAGATAGCTGATGAAGAGAGATAAAAGCATGTCTCAGGGACTGCCAAATTTAGAAATAAGTAATCCTACATATATTCAGACAAAATAAGAATTTGCTGAAAAGCATATCCAACTGAAAACGCTGAAATGCTTTTCTAAAATGCTAGATGTTGTTCACAACTATTATTTTTTTTGGTGCTTGAAGTTATTCAAGGTTTTTTAAAACTTATAAACATCCTTAAAAAAAAAAAACCAAGAAGGTGAAATGTCAAAGATCTGAAAAACGTTGATGAGTTCTGCTATTGACTAATCGAATAGTGAAACTTTGGCTCAGCCAAGCAGAAAATGTCACTGCCTTTCAGACACAGGAACTGAGCAATTGCATCCTAAATTGTGCCATTGGCCTGTTAATAAAAGGGTCAGTGAGACAAGCAGAAGATGATTTGTCCCTCTGAAGAAAATCAGAAAATCTTCTGTTTACGAATACTAAAAATACAAGGAATAAACAAGGGCTGTGGAACTCTTACAAGACTTTAGGTCAAGTTTATCACCTCAGAGGACTGTTGGAAACTTGGTAGGATAAGGCATAGGACTGGAATACTGGGGGCAGACATTGCCTGAGGTATCCCACTTTCACACAGCTCTGAAGCTCGGTAGTAGAGGAAGGCTGTCCTGCCAAAAGTCTCTGGGTAGTGGATAAAGGAGAAAATATGGGTGCTCTCCTAAGGTGGCTCTCCTTTAGCCAGGAACACCAGGTGGATGCAGCTGTTTGTGAGCTGTTAGCAGAATCATTTACAGTACTCGGTGGTCAAAGGGATTTTAACCTCCCCCTAGTCTGCTGGGAAAGGAATGCAGAAAAATACAGGCTTCTTAATAGCCTCTTGGGATATACTAATAACAATTCTTTTAATAGAGAAAGCGAGGAAAGCAGCTAGAAAACTTCCTAGACTTGATTCTAGCCAGAGGAAAGAACAACCCGAACAACCCAGTAAAAATCACCAGGAAAGTCCATGATCTTTAAGGAGAAAAGTGAAATGTGAAAGAAGAGCTTTAAGAAGATAGACTTCAACAAAGTCAGAACTGGAAAGTAAAATTTCATTGGGGGAAAAAGGCTTTAAGGAAAGCTAGCTACTCCCCTAAAAAAGGATGTAAATCAGGAATTCTTCATTGGCGTTAAGCATGAGAAGAGTCACATAGAAGTGTAAACAGTGTCAATTTACTAAGCGCTACTGTGAACAGGCAGCATGAACAAAATCAAAGTGCCAAAGGCACAAAATGAGATGCTGTAAGAAAGGAGCGTATACAGAAACGAGAATTTGTTCTGTAAATATTTTTGCAGTAAAAGGAAGACCAAAAATAGAATTGGTTTGCTACACAGTGAAAGCTCTTGATATATGGTGCCAAGAAGGGCAGAATGTTTAAGGCTTTTTTGAATACATCTCCTGTAAAAAGTATGGTAAGCAAGTAGCTGACACAATTTATTCCAGCAAGAAAGGGATATGGTTTCTGTCTCATGTAGGAAAAGATCAGGTTAAGAACAGTTAAATTGAAGTAGAAGTTAAATTTTCAAATGATCTGGGCCTGATGGACTTCAGGCTGTGGTACTAAACAGAGCAGTAGCGCTCCCCAGACCATTGGCAATTACCTTTGAGAGCTTGTGGGCTGGATGAGGTACAAAATGACCAGTAAAAAGTAGAAGTAGTGCCTATCTTTAACGATGCAGGAAACTAGATGCCACAGAGTATAGACAAGTCGGATAAAGTTCAGTTATTAAAAGAGGCACAAATTATCGAGTAGTTTGAACGCACCTAGGAGAGAATAAGACGAGTAGCTGTCGGGAGAAGCTGGTCAAGTGCAAATTATGTCAAGCCAGCTTGACTTCCTCTAGGACAAAGCAGGCAGCTTCTTAAAAGAGAAGCAGTAGCTGTCGCATGTATTTACTTAACAAGGCTTTGATATCTTCCCCGGCAGTCTCGTAAGGATTTGAAATCATCTTGACAAGACAGAGAAATGGGCCAAAAAACTAGGATGTAGTTGAAGAGCACCAATTGCACTAGTCTGTTAGGCAGAAATAACCAGCCATACAAATACGGGAAGGGGAACAACTGGCTAGGGAAGAGCGCTACAAAGAAAGGACAGGGTGAGAGATGACCACGAGCATGGGACAACATCGTTTTGCTCTGGTTACCTGGAGCATGCTGATCTTGAAGAGACAAGGGTGAAGAGAGCTCGAGAAAACCTATGCGACCTACAAGGAAAGGTTGAACAAGCTGGGTATGCAGCTAGGGACACAAGGCCTGAGCAAAGACATACCAGCAATCTTTAAGTAAACTATCACACAAAAGAAGAGAGGGAGCCCAGATCTATGTCCTTGTTGGGTTGGAAGAGAAGCAGAACGTTCAAATTGTCAAACTTCTACCTTCCTAGTCACATTATGGAGAGCTATCTGTCGATAAGGATAGTAAAGCAATAGAGCCACCTCGATTAGGGAGGCTGGGGAAATCTCCTCCAGTGGAGAATTTCCAGAACAGATTAGACAAATGCCAGTCCATTCTGGTCAAGCCTATCCTGTCTATATGTACATCGGGGACATGGGTATATCGTAGATGGCCACCTGAGATCACTTCCAACCCTATTTCTTTTTTGTTGCTATGATTCTAAGTCCATCTGCCCAGAACTTTTATGGAGAGATGACGTGGAAGACATTATGCTTTTCCTTGTCTCCAACTGCTGTTGGGAGACAAGTTAATTGTCAAATTAGGGCTGCCTTTGGGAAAACGCACAGCTGGACATACATAATTTCCAGTACCACGGCATCAATTTATGATTGTGGCTGTGTAGTTCTTTTTATGATGTTTTATGTTCTTTAGTTAATCCCTATTCATCTATTTGTAGATCATAGCTTGTAGTGGTAACTGAGTCAAGAGCATCTACTTTATTGCTTGTCGCATAAAATGTAGAAACTGCAGTCATATCGCCTAAGAAATAATAGAGAAAGAGTGAATCCTGAGGCTGAGTGGTGGAATCGCACTGGTTCTGCAGTGCTCCCATCCGCTTCTCTTCCTTTTGTCCCACCGCTCCTCCTCTCCAAATGGAAAGAGGAATGGAGATAAGCCTTAATTTGCATCTTCTACCCCTTGTCCAGCAAAGCATATAAATTTATGTGAGACCTCTGGGGCAAAGATTCTCCATGTTTGCACCATGTTTTACACACTGGTAATGGCATCTACTGCCGTTCTTGTGGCTGTACAAAAGACTTTTTGCTTTGAGAGAATTACTTATCTTTAAAATTCAGTATCTACTGCAGTGCTTTGCTGGATCAGGGTCTGACTAGAGAAAAATCCAAGGGCAGTAGTAGTTTCTACAAAATCATTTTAAGCATCACCAGGCCCAGTTGCCACATTTACTGAAGTGAACGGGGCATATAAGTGATGCATTTCCACCTTTCGGAAAGCAAATAAACCCTGGGTTCCTGTACCTGTTGGCTGAAGCTGGATAGTTTTCAATAGGTTCACTATGTTTGGCTGAAGCTCTGAAATCTTGGGGAGGGAGTCGACGTTCAGAATGAACTGCGGGGCATAAACTATCCTCTCCAGCTCTGAGGGGTCTGCGTTTTTGGCTTTGATAGCAAAGGTCACAACTCCAGATTGCTTCAGTGCATCTGATGGTTGTTCCACATCATCCGTTGATTTTCCAGCAGCAAGCAGCACCAAAAACTGAGGAACCCCTTCCTCAATCCTGCTCCCAGCTTCCTTCACAAACAACCTTCGTATAACTTCATCTAGTGCAGCACCAATGTTCAGTTGCTTTCCGGTTTTTATCTTCATCCTTTTGACTTTCAGAAGCATGTCTTGCTTAGATGGGAGTTCAGTAAAGTCAAATTCAACTTGGATGGTGTCACTGAATTGAGCTACTGCTACTCGGGTGGCATCGGGACCCACGTTCAGGTCAGAAATAACTTTGTGCACAAAGTCCCGGACGGCAGGAAAGCTACCCAAGAGGTTGGCTGAACCATCAATCAGGAATAAAATATCTTTCTTGCTTTCTAAAATAAATTCACAAATGAAAAGAGGGAAAAAAAGATATGAAGACATTTTTCTTAAACGTTATCCTAGAAACTTCTCCGTAAATTAGCTGGGTGTCAAAATGCAAAGCAAGTGATTTTCATTTACTGAAGCATTCAGACACTAAAGGACTAAACAGTGTCTCTGACTCACCTATTCAAGGAGTAAAGGAAAGCATGGATGCCTCTCCTAAGACTCAGTAAATTCAGACACCAGCATCTCATATATCATAGTGGATCGCATTGCATCATATCAATCATATCGTAAAATGGCTATTTCAGAATAGGCCAGTGAGTTTTCTGTTCTAAAATTCTGCTGATAATACAGGCATGCAAAGCAAAAACAGTGGAAGGCTTTGTTTTCTACTTAAAGGCTCAATAGAAAACGAATAGACATTAATTCATACATACATAGAGCGTTTTCTGGATTCTGTTAAAATACTTTTCTCAGTTGCATAACAAAGTGGTCAAATCTTGATCAAATCCAGAGATGACTTCTGACTTTGGGAGGAGAAAGATCCTTTTACCTGTTCAGCTTTGTGCCCTTGTAATTTTATTGAATGTCCAAGGCAAAATCAAGCACCTCATATCTTTGTGTCTTAACGTCTTTCTCATTAATCCTAATGACCTCCTTTCCATGCTAAGCAATTGTGGCTGTTTTTCTGTCTTCATATGCACATAGCCACAATAAAAGAATTAGTGAGCAAATAACTTTGCTAGCCAGTTTAACGCCTTCTAGTTGGAGTTTGATGTTAGAGACTAACTTTGCGCATTTGGAGTCAAATTCGACCTCCATGACAGCACAAAAATACAGCTCCGGGGAAGGATTTGGCCACTTGTACCTGGTTAGACCTTTGCTCTTCTATGCTCTTTGGCACTGCTTTAACCTTTCCACATCCTTTCTTGTGCACAAAAGCAACTGTTCCCTGTGCCTGAGCTAGTACAGACAACACATTTATAGGTTGTGAAGGTATTCCAAGTTATAGGAATAGAAAAGGAGCATCTGAATAAGTGACTGGTGGGCATAGACTCTCTCTGATCTTTATTTCATCTTGACCTACCGAAGGACTTCAAATTGTACTATCTTTGAAGTGTGCTAGCAGTGACTTCAGCAAAAGTAAGAGCTGACTGTGTCAAGCCACATATTTAAGGTTAAGTGCAACACTAAATGCGCCAGTGGCTCAGGGCCTTTGGCAAACGTGAAGTGGTACGCTGGGAACAAACAGTCAAAGAGAAACAAGATTAACTTAATGCAGTCAACATGAAGGAAGGTAGATATTACCTGTTGGGGCGAGTGGAACCTCTTCCACACCTCCACTAACATAGGTTGTTATGGGCTTATTTAATTCCTGGGGTAAAGCTGCCAGAGAACTGAAATCATCCATAAAATATACCATTCTTGGATTAAATGCAATCTGTTCAAGCTCTGCCTTATCCGCATTCCTAACTCCGACAGCAAAAGTCAGCACTCCGGCCCGAGCTAAGTCATTGGAAACTTGCAAGAACGGATCAGCAGAGCTCCCTGCTGTAACCAGGACTAGGACCTGCGGCACTTGTTCATTTATTCTGCTCCCACCAGCTTCAGTGAAGTGATTCGAAAGCACAAAGTTCAGTGCAGAGCCAGTGTTCAGCACTGACCCCCCCATGGGCCTCAGCTGCCCCAAGCGTTGAATTATGTCTGATTTGGTTTGGTATGAGTACAGAAAGAACTCAGTTTTAGGAGTGTCGCTAAATTGCACTAAGCCAACTCGTATTTTGTCACTTCCGACATCAAGGTTGTTAACTAGGGTCACAACAAAGTCACGCACAAAGGGGAAGTTGGCATTTCCGACGTTGAGTGATCCATCCAAAAGAAAGATGATATCCCTTTTGGTTACTTGAACTGCAGTAGAGCACAGAAAATAACATGAGACATCACAGAAAACAAAACAGAAATTGTTCATGTGTGCATACAGTATGCACCGTACACACATGTATACCTTGTTAGAAGGGAGGGGGGGAGAGAAGGAGAAGGGAAAGAATGTGATCAACAGGAATAACAGCGATGATGTTGGAAATGCCTGAATTTGGGAGGGGGGCTCTGGCTCATGTTGAAAAGTGTTTTACATGACATGTTCTAGCGAGAGGGCTGAGCCTCTGTAACGGCAGATATTTTCAGTGGCTACTAATGCCGTAGTTGCCTATTCTGGGCCAGATCCTTAGCTGACATGAAACAGCTTCATTCAGTTTGGTGGACCAACACCGAGCTATGCCTGTGGAGGCCCTGCTTATCTGTAAGTCACGGCGAATTTGCTAGGGGCTTTCCACTGAAGCTTTAGGGAACGTTTCAGCTTTCTTGTAGGCAAAGTGTTGTGGCAATGCTATCACTCGCTATTGAGCCATCCCCCAGTCCAAGGGGATGTCTCCAAGTGTCCCCAAATATAGTGAAGCACATCCTGCCCTGGATTGCAGTGATTTCTGCAGTCACTCTACCCCTGCACACTCCAGCCAAGAGCAGGCTGGCCCGCAGTGCAGAGCTAGTCTCCGCTTGCACTTCTGCTAAGTAATCCACTTTCTGAGTGAGTATTTAAAACAGCTTTTATTGATAGGCTTTAAAAAGTTGGTCCTGGTGAGGCTGTAGTGGCTGCCTGAAACACCTGACTTTTTGATGTCTGCCTGACTTTTTGAGGTCTACATTCGGTGCAGAAAACTACGCTTTGATGTCTCCAGTCACAAACATACGTTTTTGCTGGCAGGGGCTGCAGAAGGGGTGGGAGAAATTTCCATTTTGGCAGCAAGCGAAAGACTATTTCTTGGCTCTTTCTTTAAGGCCAAATTCTTCCCTAGCACCACAGGTCTGAGACATAGATCTGCAACATCAACTTAAAGTTACTGCAAGATCCCCCCGCCAGACTTTTTGCTCTAAACACGCCATGTCAGGATGACAGACCAAAGTGCTGAAAACCTGAAGCAAAACTTCAGAGGCCTAATGTCCATGGAGGAGCTTTGGGGTGAATCCTGGATGGATATCTGAGGTGTGGGAGCAGAAACCCAGGTGGTGGGTTCAGCA